AGTAAGATTGTATTGATCATCGATTTATCCCTATTGCTACTCGATTCTACGCGTTGATTGGAATCGCAAGCCAGCAACATTATCGTTTTGTCGACAATTTTCATTCATTATCCTTTGTTGAAAGCTTCCATGGCTTTCGGTTGTCTTCCATCTTGGACAATGTTGAAGACAGTTGTAGTTTATCCTAGGATAAGTTATAATGGATGGATTATAATTTTGATTTCATTCCTATTGATATTGCCGACAACGTGGACATTACCAGGTAGGCTAGGAGAATAGCGATACTGGATGCTCGAAAAATGATTCTTTCATTCCTCCATCATCGCTAGTTAATATCAATTAACTTTCCATCGGATAGTGCATTCAAAAAATAAAAAATGAACAAATATCCACTCATGTATATGTCGATATCCCATTTTGGATTACAGTTGTGCATCAATCAACTTGATCAACATGGCTATCAACTGATGTTGATTCATGTTTATTTGCAGCACTAATCGCTTGAAATTCAACATCGATCTAGTTTGATTTTTCACCTTCATTCTTCTTCATCATTTCAATACAACGGTTACTTTAAGCAAAACTGATTTCTATTCTATCTTGGTGTATGGTCCATCCCTTTCTAGGGTCTATCCAAGATGTCCATATTGCTAACCAGAAATTCACTACCACAACAACAAACCTACCTAGCCAGACATGGTCATCGCCAGATTTTGATGCCAACGGTAGAATCTACAATCAATCTACCAATTGCACTCTTCCAGGTAATCGTCTTCATTCATGACATTAGTCAATGCTTGCTAACTCGTCGACATGACAGCAAAATACTCGCTTGATTACACTTATTTTGATGCTCAATGAAACACTATTTTCCATTGCCATCCATAGCAATCGATGGCAGTCTTAGCATGACCCATTTTAAACTTCTAACTATCCCTGTTTTCAGTGGATCAATTGACTGTATATCCTTGATCATCATGCTGTTGATACAAAATCAATCGTGATGTTGTGGTTTAAATTTTTGTTTTGGCATGTTATTGTCCCCGATGATTATAATTATCATTGCATCTCCTTTTTCTTTTCTTTCCATTTCATTATTTTCTTCAACCGATTACTTTTATCAAACGATTCAACGATGATGAGGCTAAGCATAGACTACGAGAAAAAGACCTCATGTAGAAGGAGATCTTTTCCATCAGTTCATGGCCTTACATTGCTGAAGATGATGAATTTTTCCCAGCATCGTTTTGATAGATAACCGATCGACCGTTATCCCATGATGGATGGATAGATTGAGATAATCATTCATACTTGCCTTATCGTTCTCATCTTTAAATCGATAACGTTATAAGCTACTTTCAAGGGGATTGTTTTCATCACGGAATACAACATCATTTTTTCTCCCCCTCCCCCCCTGGATTATTGGATATGGTAAAGTGAAAAGTAGTTTTGCTTCATCATCGATACTCATTACATATTCCTTCTACGCCATTTTGAGAAAGTTCAATTTCGTGTTGCGATAAGAACAGTAAAAATAGGACGTGATAGAGAAATGTTTTGCTAGCCTTCCAACGTCAAGGTGATCAAAGAGTACGAGATTAATCATTTGCCAATGGTCGGTTGGACTCACGCTGATTTACGCGTATATTATACCAACGTGATGAAGTAATTTTGCATACTTTTGTTGAAAAATATGCAAAAGTCTTATCGAATTTGCAAGCGATTGTTGATATCTTGTTTATCTTCTGTATTCGATAACTTATCTTAGCCTTACAGTACTGTAGTTTGAATGAAGATCCGAATTGGCATTGAAAAAGAAAAAAAATAACTGTTTTCTAAAATGGAAATGGACTATTTTGAAGGATACGCTCCATGTCTTCCATTTTGAAAGAGCGATCGAGAGACCAAAAGCGCTGATGGGGGGGGGGGGGGACTAAATTGTACAGTCTTTATTATCACAGCCAAGTGATAGTGTTGCTGGAATTGCAATCTAGGGTTTTATTTTATTCAATACTTTGTAAACTACATGGTTTCTACCATGTAGGGGATAAATAGTAATAATAAAATTCCGAAAGACTTGGGCACGATCTGATCTCCAAGACGTGTCTATTTTCTTGCCTAATAATGAAATAAATTCTGGCGATCACTAGCCCAAATGAACAACACCTGACAACGTCTTGTGGGTATATTTTGAAGTAAAACTAATTAGAAGAGGATAGTTTTAGTATCGTTCTGCTTAGATATCAAATTGACGACGAGTAGTATTATCCAAACCTAAAAGGATACGTTAACTCTTTTTTTATTGACTTAACCAGCCAACTACTATTGTAATTGCTCTCTTTTTAAAGGCTAGATTAGTCTAATAGATGGCAATACTGCCCTATTTTTCAAGCTGAAATCTACATCTATTGTTGATCACGTATCAAATTCATCCACTGTACATGAAGAAGAGAACTGAGTAAAATTCTAATATGAAATTGAAACTGTCATAAGATGCAATCAAAGTGCCCTATTGCCACTACTATTTTTCAGCAGCAAACACCTATCTATTCTATCCATACGGTGGGATAGAAGAAGCAACACCGCTTGATAAAGTACAGTAAAGTCAGAAAATTAGGGCAATGAATTGGATATTGGATATATTATTTAGAGAATCGATCCATACGGTGGGATAGAAGAAGCAACACCGCTAGATAAAGTACAGTAAAGTCAGAAAATTAGGGCAATGAATTGGATATTGGATATATTATTTAGAGAATCGATCAATACGGTGGGATAGAAGAAGCAACACCACTGGATAAAGTACAGTAAAGTCAGAAAATTGAGGCAATGAATTGGATGTTTAGAGAATGATAATCTTGCTTACTTTCAGCTCTCTCTTCCCGTCCATTCTTTCGTCGATAGTAAATACTTTGTCATGATTGGCAATGTTGGTCAATAAAGTTAATTCTTGATCAATTATTATCAATTCTGCAAGCATAAAATGGGTACAATTTTGACGGTCATATTTGGGTAGTTAAGCGAAGAAAATACATCATGATACTGGATCGAATGGTGTATGGAGCTTTTTTTAACACAAACGCTATGCCGTTCTACGAAGGCATATTGTGAACGGAATGAATCTTTGACCTTTTTTCCTATCCTTACGCTGAATGCTATAGCAATAAGTTACAATATTTGCATTAATCAGTAGAGACTTGAGTATGCCGGAAGCTACGGCTGTTTTGGCGACGGAAAAGGGGGAAAAAAATGGATAATCCATTCCAGCAATAGTTGCAATTACTTTTAAAGTGGTTCTGAATCGGATGAGATCAGTTTATCCTCCATAATATCTATATGATTCCTTTCTGACTCTTAAAAATGGATTTCAGCGAAAAAGAAAACAGGATAAACCTCATTTGGAACTGCATGGTTAAATATTTAGTGGATGTATCACAGGCAGAAATAAATTTCGTGATATCACTAGTTTTTCTTATGCTCTCTCAATATTGACTATCGTTAATCGTAGTTCACATGCAACTATGAATTTATCACATTGGATGGTATGGCCAATCGTGTGGATAAAGAATTTCGATATTTCTTCCTTTATGGTTATCGAACAGAATGGGAGTTGAAAAAGTTGTAATGGACAATCAGTTCATAAATGCTATTTTTGTATAAATCGCAGGTTAAATACGTACAGTATACTGAAAAAGAAACTCTTGTCACAAGCAGTTTATCAATCTTCTGACATTCGGATTACATAGTTATATCGGCTGTGAATAAATGCTGCTTTAAAGTACAACACGGTTAACGCTGATGATTTGTGTAAGCGATTGAATCAAATAAATCAGTAGAATTATTTGTTCTTGGTGACACTTATCCAATGCCGGTTAAATTTTTGACTAAAAGTTTAAGCATTATTTACTCCAGTTAATAATGGCATTAAATCGACATCTACTGCGATCATTTATTAATTATGATTTGATCGTTTTTAGTAGTCCCTGGTATCATGATCAGCAAATGGAGCAGTGCCAGTATTAAAAATTATCAATATTATAGCAACGTTCGACAGCCTTGATTTCAGATTTTTTAAATGAATAATATATTGTATCTTGTAAAGTCGAAATAATCCATAGAAAGTTATCCAGTCTTTCCTTCGTCTATGGCTAGTTTGTTTTAATCGTTTACTAGTAGTCACTGTGATGATCTATTTATGATTTCCGCTCATTCATTGGGGTAGAGAGACAAAGATCACTTATAACATTACTGTCTTTTAGACTTCATGAAGTTGAACAGTACATTTAAAGCCATCCATGGAGATCTTTAGCGAAAGTCAGAAGCATCACGGAGATGCTTAAATCAGCTATTTACAGTACTACGGTAGCCGATGCCACCATAGTTCGTCTACCATTGATTTTAAGCCAAATCATCATCGTTGTATAACTGTTCATGCATTCTAAAAATAACCATGATAATTAATTGATGACGAAATTTTTTCACCGATCATCAATAATTTAATTAATATGTAAAATGGATAAGATACATGCAATTCTGATGGATAATAAGGATGGCATTTGTCTATCTTCTTAAAACGTTTACACTGACTGAGAAGGACTCGTATGATGGATATGAATGGGGATCGTTAATTTTAAATGAAGAGTTATTGTTGTTCTATACGAGGACTACTAAAATATTTAGCCCTTACGTAGTTACCGTTATAATTGAGATATCATGTTACAATAACTACCCCATTGAAATCTTTACATCATTTAGAAATTAATGTCCATAAAGTCCGATTCATTTGCATGATTATTACTTTCTTGGATCGGTCTTCTTGCTACTGCAAATATTCGACATTTATAGAATAGGATTGCTTCTAAAGAACCCTTTTATCAAAAACTATTATAATGATACGAATAATATTCTATCATGATGGAGAGAGATTGCTAACTTATGTATACATATGCATATTTCAAGTGTAATGTATTTCGATTGTCTGCTGTACAGTTTTGAAATAAATGCTACTGGTTAAGCAGTTATCAACATTGACTAAATTGGAAATTCCATTTTCTTACATTCTAGGTATTGATGAATTTCCAAAGGATATTTTTACACAGCAGCAGCGACGACAAGGCGCAGTTGTTATACATTTTATTGTGGTAAGAATGGCTAGCTGTTGTAAATTAACGAAGTTGTATTATTATAAGCAAATTAATCCGATACTGCTGCTGTAGTGCAGTAAATGTCACCGTAAATAAGTTAAAAAAATCATCAGCATGATATTGTCCAAGACGATGCTGATTACTTAATGGATATGCATTTTTGGGGTTGTAACTTTTAATTTTAAAATGTATTGAAATACTAAAATATGTAGGTAAAGACCATTAATGGGTCTCATTAAGAAGTCTGTAGAATTAACTCGTTTGATACGAGTAACAAGTATGATCAATTAAATGGAGTATTTTGCATTGGATAATACAGTCTCCTATTTAAATTTACTACAGACTATACTTTGCAAGCACTCTTTAGATAAATGAGTTGAAGCATACCTACTGTAGTATTAGAATTACTGAACGGCAAATAACTTAAAGAGTAAAAAGCGCTTGTAACAATTACATACTGAAAGGAATAGAAACCATTCCTCAGCTGAGTAGATTTCGAGATAACCTCTATGGTTGGTCACTACTAGAATGCTGTAACTTAATGGATATTGTAGCCGTTTTCTTGTTGCGTTACCTAATTGTAAATCAGATAGACGACATAGGTCACTAGCTTTAGAATTAAGAAATTTCAAAATTGTCTGTCTCGGTATTTTACTAAGCTATCGGATTTAACCTTAAAATTATGACCTAACTAAATTAGAGTTAACATGTGGTAGAATATTATGCATGTACTCTCTTAACTTTTTCTCAAGACGGGGAGGGAATAATAATTTGTGTATAGGTCACGTATATACATGAAATGAAGGCGTGTATAATAATCGCGAGGATTATGGATATTTTCAGTATCTTGTATACTAATTTTTGCTCAAGTTACCATACAATTAATCTTTTCCAATATGACTCTATAAATTGCACGTAGGCCTTCTATATGTTTGCTGCTCTGGCTGTTGTCTGTGATGAGTACTTTGTTGCATCGTTGGAAGTTATATGTGAGGTAAGAAGAGAGATTATTCTTAAAAGATACAGCAATGAATAAGGCAGTAATTCAATATTTTCTAAGAAGGCTTTGATTATGTATTACCTAATAATATTTAGCTGATATTTGCTATTTTATTTTATTGATCAATATGTAGAGATTTAATTTCTCTGATGATGTAGCTGGTGCTACCTTTATGGCTGCTGGTAGTTCCGCTCCTGAATTATTTACTTCTATTATTGGTAGGCTATTAATAGTAAACTTTGACTATAGTGATACCAATATTGGAGATTGGTACAATTTTAATTCGTAGCTATAGAGCCTGTTAGAAATTATAATAAATTTAAAAAAAAACTTTTTTTACAACTTGCAAGTCCCACTTTCATATTGAAACCTGTTACAGAGTAAATGTATTAATAATATCTACATAGTAAACCTGTTGTTAACAAAGTTTCATCAATTACATAAATAGTTATTTAAGTGCAGTTATTTAGACGAATAATAATTTATTATTCATTGTATCAAATCGCTCTTCGTAGGTGTTTTTATCACGAAAGGAGATGTCGGCGTCGGAACGATAGTTGGGTCGGCTGTGTTTAATATTCTCTTCATTATTGGTATATGTGGGATATTTGCGAAAGAGGTAAAATTAATTCTTAGATTAGATATGTTTTATTATGCTCCTAAGATTGCTTATATGACGTAACCTATAGACAATTCATCTGACGGTCTGGCCACTATTTCGAGATTCTTTCTTTTACATACTATCAATCATTGGACTATTCCTGGTCAGTAATTAATTGCCGTAAATACGTGCTGATAATAGTTCAAACGTGGAATATTTGCTGAATAGATTTTAATCAAAATTTTTCGTATTTTATCATGACTAGGTCATGTATGATGGTTATGTCACATGGTAAGATTTTTAACTGGTCTAAATTAACAAAGAAAGGGAATGTAACGAGCTACTATATTTCTAATTTTGATTTTGACTATCTAGGTATACTTCTCTGTGTCTTCTGATACTATATATTGGCTATATTGTATTGATGAAGTAAGGAACAACATATATCTTAACGTTTGATTGACTGTAATCTTCTATAGTAGAGATGGTGTACTATTACGATTAAGTAGTTTTAATACTATTGATTGTTTGTAAATCACAGCTTGATTTCTGTTTTTTAGGAATAATGAAGTCATACATTCTTTCGTATCAACTTGTCGATGCAACAATTATTATGAACGGAATCGAGAAGAAAGATCCAGACTATTGGCTAACAGTAGAGGTCTAATATTATTACTATATGAAGCTGTAGTGTTAACGTATAAATTGTGGCTGTAATGTTGGTTATAGTAGCCAAACTTACTAAAGGAGATAGCTTAGAGTATTTAATATGTATTTCGTTTAACTAATGAGGGTGATATAATTTAACTTTATAAAGATATTATTCTTTTATGATTAGGTTATGATGAAGAAGAACAACTAATATATGAATCTACACCCTATGTAAGAGAGAAACCTTTGAAAAGCTTAAAAATGTAAGATGGTGAAACTTATCATCTTTGTGTTACTATTAACAGAAGTTCTATTCGATTGATTGTGCTCGCGCTATGTCGCTAATAAATGAAATTTTGTTTCACTGTCTCAAATTTGTAGCCGTAGTATTTGGGATGCTGCTGTACGCCTGATGATAACCCGCCGATTTTCACCAGCTACACGATTCCGATTCGCATGTCGAAATATTATAACCCATAAGGTGATAATATCAAATCAATTGCAGTTGAGAACAATGACAATCAGCCATGATACACTAATTCTCCTCAACATGAATTAATCCACCTCGTTTTTGATATTAATTTATAGGAGATTCAACGTTCTTATAGTAATCCAGATCATGTTACCTGGAGTATGAAAACCATGAGTATATTTGATAGTGAAGAATCTTTAATGCTGCGAAATGGGTAAGTGAATTATTTTCGCCTTAATACAGCTTCTTCTTTCACCTTTTATAATTTTTAAAATTTGCACCGTTATTTCTGATAGTTCAAGTTCATCTCGAAAGAGCGAAGAAAAGTTTATCACTGCAGAAGTTATTACCTTAGAACATTCGAGTCATTATAACGCAGGTATTATTTCCATTTATCAAAAATCACAAATTTTATTATGATATTTTTTTTACAAGTTATACAGCGGATGTATTCTCTGTGAATGTAATAGCGGTACATGATGGTAGACTAGTAATTGTATAAGATGAATGAGAATTAAAGTTTCAGTAACTGCAGTACATTATATGGCTTTTGAACTTTTTTGCGGAGCTGTGAGTTTTCTGAAATTAATACAAGTATTTACTCTTTCTCATTTAGTTAAAAGCTTCTTTGCAGTTTTAAAGATGGTGGGTGTATATCCAATATGTCTTTTACTTGCGTTGACTGTGCCTGACTGTAGGAATGAAAGGTAAGTGATAAACTGTTGCAATACCCCAGTAAGCGGCCATGATTATTCTAGTCCTATATATATTTTGCACAGTTGTAGCGGTCGTTTTTTCATTTATTTATAACAACTATGAGCACTTTATTAATTAAATAGCCTTCCTAATATCTAGCAAAAGTAATAAAAATGAGTAAGGTAATTGTAGTAATTTTTCAATCCACTTTAGGTGGACAAGATGGTATATGGTCACCTTTATTATGTCGGTCGTATGGATTGCTGGTTTTTCATACATACTTGTTTGGATGGTATGATTACTTTGACATAATTACCGATATGTACAAATAAAGTATGACGGTATGATCTAAATACGTTTCTTGAATTTATCGTTATTACGTAGGTAACTGTAATCGGTTTCACTTTTGGTATACCTGATACTGTAATGGGTTTGACATTGCTAGCCGCAGGTACTAGCGTTCCCGATGCAATTGCCAGTTTAATTGTCGCACGTCAAGGTAAGTAGGAATTTATGCAAATGCTTTATACGAGAATTAAAAAAAATCATTGTTAGTTATTTTGATTTCGTTTTATGGCATTTTAAAACTTTTAGGATCAGGAGATATGGCTGTCTCTAATTCTGTTGGCAGTAATATATTTGATATTCTATTAGGCCTTGGTTTACCTTGGTTCCTCAGAACGACTATTTATTCAACTACAGTCAAGATTAATAGTCGTGGATTGACGTTATCGGTTATGCTGCTATGTGCTAATGTGGTTTTAATGGTAAATTATAGTTTATCCATAAATGGATAATGCGTTTTTTTCGGTGGTCTAATATTAATTTTGTCTATTTTCTTTAAATTACTAGTTTATTTGCATTCATTGCAACAAGTGGAAATTAAATAAGAAACTAGGGGTGATCTTTCTATTCCTTTATTGCGTCTTTATTGTCATATCTATGCTGATTGAATTTAATGTCTTTATGTACGTTAACCCGCCAACATGTCCCGTATAACCAGGGGCATAAATCAGAATTACGTTTTGGTATATAAATTAGTATCGCAATTTACCTTATGAAAGGAAAATTTCTATCATTTTATAATTTTTGGTTTACAACGAATATAAAGTTACAATATTTTATAAAAATTTTATTACAGGAGGAGGCTCCATAATGGGACTATATTGCATATATTGATGTACAGGTTTTCTTAAAAAGGTTTTCTGATTACAAGTCATAATTGCTGCTATAGTAATGCTGTTTGTTCACATTTGTTCATACTGTAATGGGATATTGAAGTAGAAAGATGAAAATTCGATACACGTTACTTATGGTTATGTTCCAAATTTAAATTATTATGCTAGTAATTTTGTAGTATTGCTGTAATGATCGTTTTGATAAACTTCGAAACGGAAAATCGTATTAGTTCTTTGATTCAGAGATTATATGATGAACTCTACTGAATTGACTACAATTCCCATATTCAAAAACGCTGCATTAATCGTCTGCCATTAAAATAGGCTGTCCTTATTTTTCATGGTCTATGTATGGTTTCTATTTCTAAATAATGAATTTATATCAAAATAAATTGTTGAAATAAAGACATTGGAATTACCGAGAAATATCGCGTTGATATTCTCGCTTACTGATTCGTCTCAGAAAGGGTAACAGTATCATAAAGTCTCTTATTAGATAAACTTGTGGCTTAGGCTTAATGTGTCTGTTAGCATGCTTATTAATGATCTTCTATTGATCTGTGATAGCTCGATATTGTTGCTCGAGAGAATTAATACGTCTAGATTTACTGACGATATTTAGTCATGGATATTTTATCGAGATCAATTGAACGTATTGTTGATTGAAAAATGTGATACCGTTCATTTTTTATTTGATTATCATTCTTTCCAGAGTTATTAAGATTTCAATGGTAAACGTTGATTACGTTATGTCGACGCTAACCGACGGCAACTTCATATTTACCAAGGATTTAAATTTATGATATTTTGCGATTGGAAATAAAAATTATTATAGTTTCTTGTTAATGTACAATAGATATCTATCAATGCAGGATATTTACGGTAATCATGTATATTCCAGAAAAGTAATTTTCTCTTGAGATTCAAGTTGTCGGCACTAGTGTTTTCATCGATCAAAGACTATGAATTTAGTGTGTGAATACAATAAATAATTATTAGGTATGATTAATGCTGTACTAAAATGGATTGGATGTAGGCACAGAATTGATAGGCTTTTAGCTGGCAATACAGCACCGGGAAGTCTATGGAATGACATTGTTGTTCTATCGGTATACCTACAATAATTTGATAGTAATGATTTGATAAAAAAACTAGCAACTCCGGCAATCCAGCTTCTTGCTATCTTGTTAACTATAGTCTATATACGGCATTTATTAAAGAATCAAAGTTCGAACCTACTTCCTATGTTTAGTACTGTATTTTTTTTTGTTGTTATTGCAAAGTATTACTATCCTATTGAAAAAGATTAACTTACAAAACTTATTTTAAAAGAAAGCCGAATGGAAAAGTAATTGCGCTGTCAATTTGAACGGATTGCCATTGGGATGGACGGATTTGTATTGACATACCCGTATCTTAGAAACTGGACAATTCTAGATAATATCCAAGTTGTGCAAATTTCATTTTACATGGTCAACATGGATTACATATAAGACATATCATTAATTTATATGAACATTATCTACTTTTAACTGCACGATTTTTTATTCATTTTCAACATGCGCTCGCACGTATGTAGACTGTTTAATATTATACTTATAGCTATTAGCAGTGGTAATATGAACAATTCGACCTTAAATATCGTAGGAAAAGTATTTACCTATCTATGACTGAGCGTTTAAGAACTGTTAAACAATGGTCTCTTTAAAAGAAAGAAAAAGAATTAATATCCCAAGACGTTAACGATGATTATTGTCGTAATGTGTCTCAAAAGCAATAAAACAAGGCTTTGATTTCTTGTCTAACTTCAGTTTGTTACATACTTCGTTTGACTTGATTACATCATTCATTTCTTATGTCAACGAGTATTTCCATCTGCCTCTCTTTCTCTCTAGACGCATGAATAATCTTACAATCGATCTTATAACATGATCTATTTAGTTTTCTACCAATGTAGAACATTGGTTGTTTATATTATAGCTGGTTATACAGCTTTGTTAATAATATAGGTATAAAAGGCGGTCATAAAGTTACAGTCTTTATGCTTATTATTGCTAGTTGATAGTTGTTTCGATTAATTATATATCGTTAGGAATGGGAATATTCCTTAAGGTTACGCTTGAATGGTGATTTATAAAGATGACATCATCCATTCGATAGGCTAGGCATGACGATACACCAAATTATTATATTATACTGTAGCACAGCTAGGCGTCATGGCGTGTTGTCTATTTACTCTTAACCAAGGCCAAAGGGTATTCCATTAGTGAAATGATGACGTTATTTTTCTCTTTATTATGTTTATTTTGATAGTTTAGATTAAGCTATTCCATTAATGATGTTGACGACTTTTTTCTTTATTTTACTAGTGTAGATTTATTCTTGAATTAAATCATTCAATTAATATATTCATTATGAACTACGGTACTAGAGTAAAGTTAGAATGGGATATTTATCATAACAGTTGGTGGTCATTTAGTGTATGTATCTATTTCAATTTATTGTTTGATAACAATGTCATGGGCTTTCCTTCATGGATTATTACTTGACAAAGTCATTGACTACAATATCTATGTAGAGTAGGAAAGTTTGCCGTGATTGAGCTTTTACAGTATATAGGCGTACTGAATAGACTAGCTGTTTACGCGAACGACTAGAAAGACAGGCATGTCCTAAATTCCAAAACTATGTATAACTACAATTGAAGTTATTTCACAGGCTAGCTCATTATTTATAAATGGGTTCCTGTCTAAATGAACGGCTACAAATACCAAAGCAATTCTATGTTAAAAACTATGACTGCAAGACGAAGCCATTTCAGATACTATTACAGCACATGGTTACGCATTAATATCGATTTTCTAGCTACTCTGCTGTGTAATTGTAAGACACTTGAGTATTACGAATGTTACGGATAACCACTTTTTTATCGTGATGATATCTGTGTAGATTATAGACTAATAAAGATCTTGTTGTATCGTGGTAAGTATACGTGTCCATGTTACGGCCATTGCTAAGACTGATTTTGTCTTTAAGATTGGTCACGGCCAATGCCAAGACTGCAATCATTGTTAAGGATGGCCGGCCAATCTTAGGAATGACCGATCATTCTTCGATGACTGATTCCCTCTACCTCTGTCAATATTGTTATACTGCACTATGCACGGTCTCCTGCGCTAATATAGTAGAATGGCACATTATATTATCCTCCATCTTTGGATTCATGAGTTGTCTCGATCTTCGATTAAAACTGCAGTTACATGTACAAGTGATTTCAATACAATTCTAATAATAATCCAGCGAATGGATAGCAGCGGACATTTCTCACAGCGTGCAATGTCCTGTGTACCAGAAAAAAATGAATTATTATTCACGTACATTACTGTACTTGAGTACTATGACGATGAGTCATTCCGACATGCACAAGATCAATTTTTGCTAAGCATTTTCATATCATTGCCACTCTCATCTTCTCCCTCTATGGCTGCACTCATCGACGGAAAAATCGTCGTATTTATATATCGTTTAACTAGCCATGTTCATAAATTCATAACGGCATCATAAACCAGTAGAGTAGTTTCAGTAAAGTGTACAAAAAACATTTATTCAGATGGTTCAAGATACCTAATGGCCGGCATGTGTTTTGCTTACTGCTGAAAAATATTGACATAGAGGGTAGAGGTAAACCGCGAATAACTTCTACAGATTGCACAGTGCACAGTGCACAGTGCACAGTGCTAGTAGAGTACAGTGTACTGTACTGTACAGAGACCGTGGTTGGCGTTGATGAAATGTAATAGACTATCATGCATTTCTGTAATATATAGAGTATACAGTATAGTAAATTGAGCGATAACTGATACACTAGACTACGGGCTGTACAGTGTACAGTGTACAGTCCTGATCAAGTACAGTACACTGTACACGTCAATAATAATAATAATAATAACAATAATAATAATAATATCGTCCGTCACCTACAGGACCCGTACCGGTACCTGTGTACAGTGCTCACTGAACTAAGGTATAAACGCACTCAGCGACCGCTACCCTATAGAAAATACTACTCTATAGGCTATTGTACGTGCACCTCCCCTTCTTGGTGCACGGATGGGCAACCAGCTGAGGTGTCAACTCAAACAGACACTAGACCATCGCGAACAAGACCCATGGAAGAAAGAATTTGTATCCCCTTCGACCATGGACTGACTACCAGACTACCGCTAGTGGGTGAGTCACTGCGTGAGCAGTCACTCGGCCAGTCAGTCACTCTCATTGGAGCGACACGACAATTTCACTGACAAAATCAGCTTTGGGATTTGCGGGATAGCGTTAAGCTGGCGCTTTTCTAATGGAAAAATTGATTTCTTCTGCTAAGAAATAACAACAATATTGCCTAAATTGCCTGGAAAAGTGACAATTACACAAGGTAATAATCCATATTTGGAGTTCAATTGCATTGGTCCACCAGAATTTGCGCTAAATGATATCATTGCGTTGATCTACTGTCGAGTAGAATGAGGAACCCTACGAAAATTTCAATGAAACACGGACCGTTTTTTTTCTCTACCTATTTGCTTCTCTATCCCTAAGCAAAATGGCCACCAACTTTAGTTAGTCAACTGGTTATGAATGTACTGTATGGAATGACTAGGTTTTATGCCTTGCAGATAGATTATTTTATTCTGTGGGGAAAATACTTGTACAAGTGTCATGAGAGTTTACTGTAACATTGACTTGTTCTCATAACCAACATGCTTCAGCGATTGTCATTATTGATTTATTTATTTATAACATGATGATCAGTAGGACCATTTCGTTGTGATTCTTCATATCGGTTGTCCCTTCTGATTACTTATTGGATCATTTCTAGTAAGTTAGGTGCTATAAGCAAGTTTCTATTTCGACCTTGACTGGGTTGTTTCACTAGTGAATAGGCTGTACTTTCCAAACAACGTTTCAAAAGTAATGACAGTGAATCATAAACCAGTGTGCAATACTCTTTCAATGAACAATAATAAACAACCTCATTTCCCCACTGATAGCTACGCAATAGTTAAAGCATTACTTTATCGTTCATTCATGGATGGTATGTGAAAGAAATCCTGCTAATGATTGCTTTTTATGTTGAAATATATTCCTTCCCTGCTGTGGTCATCCTCAAATTGAAAATAGTAACATTTGGCTCGTTTTGAAAGCAAGTCAAAAGACAGACAACAAAAAGCCTTCAACCGATTTCTTCCCTAGGCTGGTTTTAGCTCAATCAGTTCATTACTAACCAAGATACATTGTAGTCAAAGTCATCCTTGTCCGCCATGAGTGAAGAAGTGATTCAAAGACAATTAGAACTAGAAGATCTGGGTTTACTCGGCAAGAGTAAACATCAACGTCTGCCAATTAATTTTGAATATTTATTGGATTTATTCATGACCTTTTACCAAGAATGTAAAGGTTCTACAGTTTTACAAAGAGAGAAAGTCATTGCTGATTTTGTCAACTTAGGTAAGTCAAGCTATCAATCCATTACAACATGCACGACAGCTTTACTGGATGCTAGTATATTGGTGTTAAAACCCAGCCAATTCTTTGCGCGAATTTTATCCTCATGATGACTGACTGACTGAATCATTTCCGAATCATTATTTTTTATCCATCTTTTTTTCTTTTTCCACTCCAAAACAACACCTCTTATCAAGATGATAACATTATATTGTCGCCTAACATTTCCTTGATAGAGATCTTAATTTCATCGTCAATATGTGAAAAGTACTACACAACATTTATGCAATAATTTCGCGTAAATAAATATAAAATATAAGTACACTTCAATACAGACTACTTTATTCTTGAGTAACACTCTCAGTGCTTACTTGCAAGAAACTTTATTGTAGAATATCGAATGCATTAGCATCAGTCAAACGCTTTTAACCCTGAAAGTTTGGTGTTATACGGTACATGTAATTACTGTAGCATGGTCATTGGTAATAGTTGATAATTAATTTGCAACGTTTTACGAGCATATCTCAGACAGCCTTTGCAGAACAACTCCATTTTGTCTGCTCGTAGCCCATAACGTCATTGTTACGGCGACGCTTTTATTTGCACCAAGAATGGCTGTGAAATTTGATACATGTCGTACAATACTGATAAAAATGCTAGTGGTCGATAATTATGTAATGTCGTAGATGTTGTTTCGATTTTATGGTAGGCAACTAACAAACAATGATCCTAGATAATGGAGTAATAGGCAGATATCACAGACGTTATTTCGGTATTACGGTTACTAACTTAATAAACGACGAACGACCCTAGATGCCGTGGAGTAATGTACAGATATCATAGATGTTGTTTCAATATTACGGTTAGTACCTAATAAATAACAACGATCCTAGATGCCGTGGGGTAATGTGCACTTTATGCAGTCATACTGTAATGGTAGTGTGTACTAATAAACTGCTAGATAGCGATTTCTTTTTCATTATAAAAGTCCATGATACGTACTGTGCCATGAGATTTTGCTATCGTTGCTGTACTGTATGTTGCACTGTACAGTGTGCTGTGCTAATATGGTCATTAGCAAATTAGCTTTTGGCTGAGGTTATTTCTCTGCTTTTCAGTCCACTATGTTCATGATGACATGTTATAAACTAACCCTTCAGGCTCATTGTCATTAATCGGATGGCACTTTTGATCGTATCATTTCTCTTTGAATAATGCTGTACTGTGTATATGCGTATAATAGGCGTTCAGGTCGATGACCAGAGCAACTATTTAATGATAGCAACAAGTCCGATATAGTACGGAAATGAGCTTAAACGAAATACCGGTTAAAAAGTAAACGAAAGTTCTAATTCCATCACGTCACCTAAGTTAAGGTTCATCATTGATCCAAGGACGAACAAATACATCCAGAACATTTGTGTAGAGGCAATTCTTCACTCGAAATTAATGTGCAGTGTTGTACGTGTTATTTTTCATATCGTTAAATGTAATGAATTAAATGCAATGAGTTAAGATGCCTTATCGTGGTCATGATGGATAATGCATTACACTTTTTGATAGTTAGCTTGTTATTTGATAGTCTATTACTGCAGTTGTTAAGACTAATTGATTAGGTAGACTAAAATATCGCTGATATGACAATTTGAATTGATAACATCAATTAAGTGATCAAAAATTATGGAATTTCACTACTGATAGAGTAGGCTTACAATTTCTCATTCTCTTATTAGCCTACTATTCCAATACGTACCTAAGTGACTCACAATTCATTATCAATTATGCCACATAACTTTTATTTTTCATTCTTCTACCTTACTTTCCTGCATTTGAGATAACTTAGTTTGTAATATTAAATTGAAAATGGACAAATATTAAAGCTGACAGTTTTCGTAAGGGATCTGACCATTTGTGCTGACATTTGTGATTGGATCGGTGGTTGCTTTAGTTTATTATAAATTGAAGCGCATTGACGCAATGAGATTGTATTATTAATGGGAAAGCTCTTATAAACTGTACAACTAGCATTTACCGAGATTATAATACGACTACTGCCTGTACAGCTGGAATCAGAAAGACCCTGATTTTGTACACACCTTTTAAATCGTACTGTACTGAAATGATAGTGTTTGTAGTAATTACAGTAATGACAGTCATAGCTCAAAAATTATCTTAATATCTGCATTACAGATGTAAGTTTATGCAATGGTACGAATATAAGCAAGTTTACGTAGCAGTTCTGTATTTATTCAGAAATTAAAAAAATTTTTTCAACATTAATTCAGTTTCTTTTGACGCCAATATACGAAATCATAGGTATATCACAAAGCACAATACATTGTTGCGACATTTTATGTGTAATGAGGCTCTAGCTTGAAAATTATATAAAACTGATTAGGCACATTTTTAAGTCCATTATTGAGACAAATAGGTTCGTAGAGATCACATTATAATATCTTTGTTTGATATCACAACAAGTATGGTTATCAATATAAGCAAATATAGTATTACTTGTTGCGGTCATAATATGTAACAAGATCGATTTCCTGTGTAAAAATATAATAATATTAGGTATGTTGTAGCCGTACTAAAAATGCTTTGCAATACCTGATCAGTGGCTTAAGGGCATGTCTAAATGCTGTCTACATCTAATGTTTCTCTAGCACTAGTTTGAGATGATTTATGTGCCGAATTTATACATGCTATAAATAAACTTGCTGGTAAGGGTAGTGTTGCTTTAATCATTCCCAGCTTAGTTGTTGTTGTTAATCGTTTCTTAAGCAACAGATGTTAAATTTTAGTAGCTAATGGTAAAAATTTTTTAATATTTTTTTGTTGGTATTGACTTTTGCCTTAACTATAACTATATTATTAATAAGTATGTGGATGTTTGTAATAATGTGTTTACTCATATCAGAGTTAATATGCTAGCAACTTGTCTCCTTAATCGCTTTTATTACATAACTTACAGCTAATCCAATAGCCAAAAAAATCAGCGATTTAAGATTAAAACCGGTTGATTTTAGTGTTGTTAATGTTATCGGGCGTGGAGCATTTGGAGAGGTATGTAAATAAATCGCCTTTGTAATAAGAATTACAATCAATCAATAATCTTGTATTGATTGACTAATAGAAAATAGTATGCCATATTGAGTCTAGGGGTTGTAAATTGCTTAGCTGTGTCTTAATCTGTTTTAAAATATGGATATGTTGTTCTACGTGATGTTGCAATGATAAAATTTTAGCCAATTCAACAATGATGCATTAAATATACATTTAAGTATAATAAATGCAATCATATCTCTAAGGATTACTGTATAAGTCATTATTATAATTATTAATTGGTTGAAATTTTAGAGTTGATTAGTTTCTAGTCTGGTCTCTTTTATTTTTAGTAGTCTCTGTTGATAACAATGGTTACTGTAGACATAATGATATGATGATATGTTACAGTAAATAAATGTATAATTCTTCTGTCGAGGTAATACGAGATATTACTTGACAAAGTATAGTAACAATAATCACATGGTCTCATACTGTTTAGAATTAGAATTATTTACAACGAGAATTACACCTACAACTAGCATAATATTCAAGAATTGAATCAAGTTTTTTATAGAGTCTAATTTTTATAGCACACTTTTGTTAGAAACCTTATATCATATTTCAATCTTTCTCCGCAAGTATTTGCGCATATAGGGAGTGTAGTTATTTTGAATAGGTAATTCTATTCTTTGTACTGGAATGGCATTTATTTATGTTTTGTTTTTAAGACTGTAATACTGCAAGAAATAATCGAGCACTTATTGAAATTAAGTTGTAAAAATAGACGATATACATACATTGCGTTAGTATTGAGATATATAATTATACAATTAATATCTTTATCAAATACAGGTTAGCGTCGTCAAGTTGAAGGGATCCGAAAGAGTATTTGCTATGAAGAAGCAGAGTAAATGGGACATTCTGAAGAGACCTGAGGTAAAATATATTTTAAAATTCTTTATGAATTTCGACTCTTACAAAAATTACTCCTAGATAGCAATCAGCATTTGATTATATAGTATTAAAGATAAATTGTTCCATACGTATTTTCACCAGTGATTGCAATACGATATATGCAAGGTGACGATATGATAGAACTACAATAGATTTGCAAATTTTAACCTTATTTTATAGCCTGTAAACGCTTCAAAGTCGTTACTTTCACTACGAGTTAACTTAAAATAGATAAAAATATCTAATAAGTTGTTAATAATTACGTCCATGCACCTTCTTCAAATAGGCTGCTCGTTTCCGTGAAGAGCGCGATGTTTTAGTTCATGGCAATCGACAGTGGATCACTGCACTATATTATTCTTTTGAAGACGAAAATTTTATCGTAAGCGGAAATTCTTTAGCTAGTTTTTAATCTACAAATTTTTCATTGCTATAACGATATATTACTAAATCAAAATGCGGTTATAATATATAGCATATCGTAAATCTTATAAGTAACTTGTCTACTTTCATCCACATACGCTACTTTAATTGAGTATAATTCTTATTTATACTATTTCTGATAGTAAATAATGGGTTCATTGATGTGTTGGTAGCGCTCGCACTCATATTAGCTTGTAGTATACAGTTTTTTATAATCATTATTTTTAAAATTCTGTGTTTATGTTTGTAATTTTAGTATTACATTATGGATTATTACAACGGTGGAGACTTATTGACCTTGCTGAGTAAATATGAAGACCACTTGCCGGAAGAGATGACACTCTTTTATGTAGCCGAAATCGTGCTTGCCTTAGATTCTGTTCATCAATTGGGTTATGTACACAGGTTTAAAACTTTGAATAATTCTATTCAATAACAAGTATTTTATTCTCAATTTCTGGCTATATAAATTATTAACTACTCTATTGTAGATAAAATTTATTTTCTTCGTGAATAGGGACGTAAAACCTGATAATGTCCTACTTGATTACAATGGACATATTCGCTTAGCGGATTTTGGATCTTGTATTAAAATGGAAAATGGGAAGGTACGTGGAGAAGGTTCCATTTATCTAGTTGTCTTCTATACTATCTTTGTAACTATCATGTTATTGCTTAATGAAAGGTTTACTCTGCTGTTGCTGTTGGCACTCCAGATTATATATCACCAGAAGTTCTTAAGGTCAGTAAAATTTGTAATTTAAGATGTTCTTTTAGGTTTTTTCTTGCATCTGAAATTGTACCTGGATATAGGCCATGGATGGCAAAGGTAGCTATGGAACTGAAGCAGACTGGTGGTCATTAGGAATTTGCATGTATGAAATGTTATATGGAGAGACGCCATTTTATTCTGAATCTCTGGTCGAAACTTACGGGAGGATTATGAGCCATAAAGTTAGTATTTTGTTAGCGCCGCTTTTAGTATGCTAATTTTTAATCAGAAATTTTGAGATTAGAAAAGGATTTATACTGGTGAACCTAAAGTGAAAGTAGGCTCCACTGCAACCCATGATTCTATTCTTAGGGTAACTTTGCATTTCCGGATTATGAAGATATAGATGTATCTGGTATTGCTAAGGATTTAATGAACAGGTATGTCTACTAGCTCGATAAAATACAGTGTATACTGCACTTATTTGAGCTAATGTAAGTTGGCAAAAATTTTAAAAGGTTCTGCCAATCCTCAGAAAGGCGTATTGGACGCGGAGGATTAAAAGAGATTATGAAGCACTCATTTTTTAAAGGACTAGATTGGGAAAATATTAGAAATGGTGACCGACCTTGATACGTAATTTCATTTTAATCTTCGGATATTTAGATGATCGTTATTTTTCATTCATTAGTTCAACCGCCATATATTCCTGAAGTTACTCATCCTCAAGATACTTCAAATTTTGACGTTGATCAACTAGCAGAATTAGAGGTATGAGGCGTTTTTGTTACCTTATTCCTTATGAGATTAGTATAGATTTGTAAATATTGAACGTAATCATTTTCTCCACTACTGGTGCGAATTATAGATTCCTGATAAACCAAGATCTCATTTACAGTTTACTGGTCTTCAACTTCCTTTTGTTGGTTTCTCGTATTCAAGTGATAGGTTTGGCATAATTTTATGGGCTTTAGTCTCATTTCGATAAATTTGTAAAGTAATGTCTATCTCTTGTTTATTATTATTAATAGTCAACTGCCTAAGCGACTTGGTGGACCAATTGGTAATAGTTAATAAATTTTATGAGCTTATATCCATTATATATGTCTTAGCGTACAGTATAAATTTTCAATGTATTTGCAACCAATTTACGTATAACCCATGAAGGTGGTAATAACAGAACATCTCAAGAAAGATCAAATGAAACGAAAACGTTACATGATGAATTAGATCGGTATAAAAAGAGACTTATGCGTGAGTATTGTTTCTTCTTTAAATTTTGCTTACATCTTATTTGTTTAATTTATTCGTTGTCGCAACTATTAAACTTGCATAATTCTCGCTGAGTATGTAACATTTTGTAAATTTGATCGATATGATAGGTTACGAAGACGAAATCAAGCAGCTGAAATTGAAAAAACATGATGACAATCAGTTGTCTACGAAACTTGCTTCACTTGAAGAAGGTTAGTTAATTTTGTGGTGTGGAAATTATAAATGTATCATGTCCTCTTATACTTCTAAAATTATTGAAATGTAGAAACTGAGCTAAAGATACGAAAATTAGAAGGCACTAATCGTGATCTTCAACATCAAATTAAGCAATTAAATGAGGTATTATCATAAATACAAATTGTAAAGGACTGTAGTATGCAATAGTTACACATTATTAGGAATAATATTTTTCGATCAGTCAAGTCAGCCTTGACAGTGTAATGCATAAATCTCTAATGCAAAGTATCATAATAATTAAAATTAGACGATATCTTCGTCGGAAGCTACTATTACAGTACAAGAAGGGGAGCTAGCATCGGTTGCAATTTCGAAAAGTAAATTAAGTGAAGAAATTAATTGTCTTCACGAAAAGTTAGTAAAAGTTTTGTGTATTGTTTTTGGAAATGAATTATTTAATAGTATGAGCAACATGAATAATCTAATTTTTGACTTGGGCTTCATGTTAGACTCGATAATTTAGAATTACAAGAGTCAAAGCATGCACGAAAATTTCGGGAAAAGCAGGATGAAATTGGTTAGTTTGGTCGTGCAAATGCCGGAATTTTCTTGTAACGATTAAACTTTTGTTGTCGCTCATTCTAATTTTATAAACAGAAACACTAAAATCAAAGCTTGATACCACAAATCGTCAATATCGGTCGTTGGAGCGAAGTAAACGAGATGTATGTAAATGATACATTTAATTTTCTAAACTAAAGTTCTTTTATTCACAATATTGAACAAATAATTAGTTGCAGGCACAGCTAGACGGTGTTAATATTAGCTTCGAAAAAGAGAAAAAAATGCGAGTAAAAAGCGATGCGGTAAGAGATATAGATGCAAATCGCGTTATTTTAAATTAAAACAACTATTGAGCAGGAATAAGTGAATTTTGAATAAAATATACATCTACTTCATGTCGGCTTATGACACTTTACTTAACAGGAGGTTAAGCAGTTACAGGTCGAAGTTGGGAAGCTGAAAGTCAGTAATTTTCTAAACCTGTGAATATGCTTTGATGCCTGTTTCAACTTTTGTAATACCTCGTATTTTATTATTTTTATTTAAGGAACAAAAAGTCGACACCAATGAAATGAGTAGGGGTCACTTAGAGGAAGTACAAAGGTATGACATATTGAAACTTGATAAGTTATAATGCAGGCTTCGTGATTAAGGGAATGATACATTTATATTAGGCTTAAAGTAACACTTAATCGTGAGCAGTCAGAACACGAAGAAATACTGCGTCACGAGCGTGAAAAACATACATCAGCAATTCGCGTAAGTGACATAATATTATAATTGATAATGTCGTGATTTGTAAACTGTCGTAATGAAAGGGTTGCTACTTGTGTACTCTAGAATTTAAAAATTAACATTGAAGAATTGAATCGAAAAACAACAACGCAAGATAAAGAAGTACTGTCTTAGTTATGAACTTAAGAATTTCGAATGCTATTTAATTCTCTAATTTATTTATTTGCTGGTCTAGATTGAAAATTTACAGCAAAAGGTTGAAAAAGTCAGAACTGAAAGGTTATTATTTAAATAAGAGTGAAAAAGATAGTTAATCAACTATCATTCTACTGATCACATATCCGTATTTTCAATATTAAAATAGCATTAACGACAGTCGGGAAGAGTTTACACGAGTCGAACAGAAATATAAACGAGAAATAGCTATGCTTAATGATAAGAATAAGCAGCTAAAAAATGAAAAACTATCGGTAAAAATACTACGGTTGCCTTAATTTTGAATTCCGGATAAATTAACTAACTCTTATACTACCTTTCCATAGCTACAACGGGAAATTGATAAGTCAAAGCGAGAAAGCGTTATTGTTGATAAAGCTTCTGGAGACGGTAAACGTGCAAATGAAAATATAGAATCTTGGGAAGACCAAATTTCGGAAATTATTACATGGTAAATGATTGAGCCGTACGTTAAAACTATTCGAAAGGCCTTTCCCAATATGTTTTTGCAATAAATGTATTTTCGTTTCTTCTTTCTTAGGGTTCAAGGTGAAAGAGATGTGCGCGTTAATTTACAAGAAATGGCGAAAAAATTAGCTGTAGATGTAGAAGAATTAAAGTCTAGCTCCTCGGTATAGTGGCATAATATTTGCTATTCAATTATATAATTATAAGTGGTGTTTCTATAAGGAAGTGCTAAAATGCCAATCTCTTATTTTGGTGTAATTCAATCATTAGTATGCAAGAAACACTGAAACTTGGCAATCAAGAAGAATGGCGAAAATTGATAAACAAGAACATATTCAATTGCAAGCGTTATTACAGGAAGAAAAGACTTCGAAACAAAAATTAACGGATGAACTAAATGCGCTTAAGACTTCTTTTGCTGCTCTTGAAAAGTACGTTTGATGCTGTTCTTAGTTCAAAATAAGATATTATTTTACTGAACTGAACAACGTTCATATTTACAGAAAATTTTTTGAAAAAGAGAGTCAAAGTTTGGAAATGAAAGAAAAGATCGTTTTGCTAACTGAAGAAGTGGAACGAAAATCGACGAAACATGAAGGTACTCCTATTCTAGCGATTTGCATATTTATGTGTACTTTTTGAGCCTTACACTAGGTATGCTTCTTTTCGAAAGTTCCAATTCCAAAGATTGATAATACTGAAGTTGAAGGAAAAGCGTATGATGGCATTATAAGAGTAGGTTAACTTTTTCATTTGTCATACTCGTATAGCTAGTTTTAATGTGACTTCTGTAATTGATGCTAGGTTCCTAAACCTGGAGGCGTTAGAAAAGGCTGGATAAAAAGTAGAATCGTAATTAAAAATTTTTGCTTGTATCTATATGACATAACTACGGAGGCGATGACGATAGCTCTGGATCTTAGGTTTGTAGCTTATAATTTTATTGCATTAATGAACTGAATAGAATGGGAAACGGAGAAATTTATATTATTGCATAGGGATCCAGGAGTAGCTGTTACTTCCGTTACATCTGCAGATGTTATCCACGCTAACAAAAAAGATATCTCGAGTATTTTAAATGTTAGTGCATTTGTGCTATATCTAATACTTCTAGTATTACGTATTTATTGGTATATTTCAGTTTTCACACATTATTTTACACTCTTAGCATATGATTTGTACTGATGTAATACTATTAATATGTAGGCTGTAGTTACTGCGGAGCCACCTGGTATTAGCTATCAACAACTGATGCTAGCTGATTCACCTAGTGAAAAAAATGAAATTATCGAGTTAATTAACTACATACTTACGAATTTACGAGAGCAAGATCGACAGGCTCAGGTGATGCAACTAGTCATACGTGGTCTTTATCCTGCATCTACTCGTTAATATTACTGTTAATGTCACTTTACGATATGATAAGTCAGAGTTACGCTGACTAGTTATATTCAGCGCTTTCAAATATGTGTTTCGCCCCTGTAGTTACCTTTTCAAGCCGTAGAAGTTTTTGATCAGTCCACTGTTAGCTCCATCAAGATACTATCTGCGTGTATTTGCGGTATATGCATTACTTTTGGGGTTTATTTATTATACTTGTGGATTTAAGGTAGCGTTAATACTATTATCTTTGTCGCAAATAGATACAAACCGAATTTTTCTTGGATGTGAAGAAGGGATGTATTTATTCGAAAATAGCAATGGCGGTTCGTCTAAATTTGATATGGTGCTAGAATTTTCAACTTTCTTACGTTTAATAAGTAGAGTGACTTTATTTGTTTAATTTACAGCTCTAAGTTGCTTAAATGATGGTGTAAAGAAAATTTGTCAGTTGCAGTATATCAAAGAAGAAAAGACAATAGCTATGATCGCTGGTAGGTTATCGTCTCATTTCTGTACGATTTTATTGAATGGCTCGGCCGTGCTTGGCTTACAGTACATATTTTGTTGTGTTTACTGTAATAGGGAAGGGTAAATCTGTTAGGCTAGCGAAATTTGCCGAAGTATTCGACAAGAAAGATACCGAATTTAATAAATTGCCTGATACTAAAGGTTTGAAGATAGCTTTAGATTATAATTTATACATTTATAAGCTACTCCTAAACAATTTATTTAACTTGTTCGCGTCAGGTTGTTCATACTTTGCTACTGGATGCTTATCCGATGATAGAACTCAAATACTTTGCGTAGCTTTAAAAAGAAGTATTCTAGTTTATAGGATTCATGGTATAACGTTTAACAAATTAAAGGTAAATTCGCGTTATTTAGAACAATAAATTGAGTTTTTGTGATCTAATAAATTTGTATTATTCCTTGAAAGACATTTAGCCTTCCTAGTGTTTGCTATCGTCTTTCGGTATTTAGCAATTCCCATGTTTGTGCTTGCTATTATGCTGGATTCTCTCTATTTGATGTTGAAGGCAGACATTCTGAACAAAGTAATACTTAGATTGCAGTAACTTGTTAATTTATTTTGGATTGAAATTAATATTGTTGAATGCCTTGCAGAGCTTATCAGTAGCGAAGATAAATCGTTATCTTCCATTTTACAAACTCAAATGGAGGCTGTTACTGCAATAGAAGTTGGTGATGATGAATTTCTTTTGTGCTTTAGCAGTAAGTATAAGTGTTACTTCCCTTATCAAGGTCTGTTAGGCGCTAAGATTTAATGCGTGGTTTTGATTTAATAAAGAAAAAGGAGTTTATGTCAAATCGAACGGTTTTAGAAGTAGGCAAGCTGATCTTGTTTGGTTAAACCCAGTACATACAATATGTAAGGTTTAATTTACGTAGTTTTAATGATTGAAGGTTGAAAGATTAATAATTATATTCTATTATTTTTAATGTCTTAGCTTATTGCCATCCTTATATTATTGCATTCTCTGATATCTGCGTTACCGTATACAACGTTTTTAGTTCAGAAAGAGTTCAAATTATTTCATTAAAAAAGGTTAGAAGGACACCTGTATAACTACAAGATAATATCGAATCACTAGATATTACATACAAATGTAATTTATTAACTTGTTGCAGTTACTACCAATGAATACGAACGCTTCGCTGTGTTCAGGAGTAGATTCTACAGGTTTAATCCACTTCAAGAATTTGTACGACTCCGGTAAGAACTTTCGTTAAAAGATTTTAGCGCAATACTTACAATTTGCCTTTACGCTTATATGTAGCTTTAACTCAAAGTCATAAAATAGGCTACATTAGTCTTTCTATTTTGAAACTAACGTAGGTTTCTGAATACTTGGACAATATTTTTCTTAACGCTTGTTTTAGATGCAATAACTTTAGACTTGACCCTCGCGTCTGCTAGGATGAGAACTAGATTAGCTACCGTAGGGAAGAAAGGAAAAAAAGGGTACCAATGTTTACTCCTACATTACTTCCGTTAAATTGACGTTAAAATTATTGGTTGTGTAGTTTTAATAATTTCCTACATAGTTTGGGATTGCTTTTCTTCTAATAATTTTTAGAATCGTAGAGCCTCAGCGCTTATCGAAGTCAAGTATATCTGGGCCTACTAACTTCACCCATGTAAAGCATGTTGGATCGGATAGTAGTAGAATTAATTTTAGTCAGGTAGTAAAATAAGTTAATTAATTTTGAGTGGACCATTCTAGGGTTCATAGTTTTTTATAAGCCGGATATGCAGTATTGTAACATTGCTACTTTATACGCTATTTCAATACAGGTCGTTTATGGTGATGCTGCTATTGCCTTGGATGCGAAAAGTGTGAGTAGTATATTATTTTGTATGTTCTTATTTTTTAATCAATTGAAGTAGTATTTATGATTACGTATAACTTAAGAGAAATTTACTTAAAATTGCATTAACGTACATGTTCTGTGATGTTTACTTTTACAGACAAGTAGCAACAACGATTTTGGGAGCCTTCGATCGGTATTCTTACATTATTTATAATAAATATTAATTTGGACTTAATTATACAATCGAAGATTGTAATTAAATTAATATTTCAATTTTAGGAATCATCCAGTAGATCGGGTTGTAAGTATTTTGGTTATAGCACTTTTTGTAACTTGAAGTCCATCTACTACATATTACATTAATTTTTTTATTAGTAAAATCGTACTTGTTTAAGGAATCTTATTCTTATACGCAAAATAATTATGTTTTCAGCTGGAGATGGAATGTCTGCACGTGGTCATCCACAGTCGCGCACAGGCAGTGACATGTCGTTGAAACAACGCAGAACATCAGCTCCCAGTACCGACAGTAAACCTCACGATGTATGATTATGTTCTAGCGTTAGCATTATGACTTTATTTTCATTCTATCCTTATGTAATAAAAATATTAATGTCACTTTAGGCTGATTCTGCAAGGCAACAGGGTAGCCCATTCGGTTCTGGAAATGGTATGATGAATTTTAATACGTACAATTATTTTACTGCCTAATAATTATCTTTCGTCAAATATATGAATCTTTAGCTGATGTGAAGAAGGCGCATTCATTTTCGAAAAAAACCTCAACCAACTTATGTACGTAACTAGTTAGGACGAAAAAGGATTGTATTATTTTGGTGTAGGCCAAATTACAATTGATACCAAAGAATTGCCTGTCATGTCTATTGACATATTCACTGATATATCATTTTTCCTGTAGAAGGAACTCCGGTTGAAAATGGTCTATTGATTTACCGATAACTGGCTAACTACCATTTTTATATATTTCGTTTCATTATTTGCTGATTTTGTGAATAATATATAGTACGGACAAACTGACTTTAACTTTTATAAAATCCAATAATGTTTGGATAAATTTAAAAATTTCAGTTTTGTAGCATAAATACACGTACACATACAGTATATATATATATATATATATATATATTTAAGTATTTAAAAATTTTCGATTTTTAATGTGAAAGCTACAGTATTTAACTGTTGCTTCATCAATGGATAAGTTTGTGCTCTGGAGCAGTCTCGTCAAAAATTTTTTAGACTATATACTATCGTTCTGTCTCATATTTGTTATTCTAGTTATTTCTTCGAAGATCTATCTGAGCAAATTCTATCTCTTATGATTCTGTTTTCTGCTATAATAACACCGAAGTATACCGCTAAAACCTGTTATGAATGAATTTCTTTTAGAAGTAGCATTGCGATTATATGTTATGGGCAATTAATAATGAAATGTAATAGACTGCCGCTAAATTAGATTTGAAAAAGATGCATTATATACGAGTACACATACGTATGTTAGGAAGGTATAAAAAGCGATAATCTGATATTGCAGTAGTTAACTTTTAGGACTATCAATAAACGCACTCTTGTCGCATTGATACTAATTCTGTATAGCGATGCAATTAGTTTTACAGTATAGCGATTCCTTTTTACATAGCTGCAATTTAATAGTGTTTTTTCAATTTCCGTACTTTAACAATTATGGAAGATAATGTAATAAAGATTTTCAGCTTTTTTGGATAATATTGAAACGATAGATTTATTGTAAGATACCCTTAGCAACAGTCTGTACTACATGTATGTACGCTGCAATCGAAAGTATCTTAAAACACCCGGACTTAAATCGCCTGTTCAGTACGGTGTATAATAAATACGTAAGCAATACGTACAGTATAGTCAAGATTACAAAATAATGTACGAATAGTAATATCCACCATAATCGCAGTACAACGAACAATTCACTAAACGTGAATCATAACAGCCATATCATACAAGTATTTTAAATACGTTGCGCAGAAGAATTCATAACAAAGCATATCCTAGCCATATTTCGGCAGTAGATAAGCTAAGGCATTAATTAATTACGCTATTTCATACGATGTAGCAGAGATTCATCTCTCTTTTTAAGAGTTCTTCCATGTTAATTTTCTAATACTAGACATAGCAGTGCTACCGATCACGACATAACTGGCTCCTTGTATATTAAAATCCAAATTACAACGAGACAGAGCAAAATTTTTTTAAAAGCAATTTATTATTTAATAGGATAACATCGAATGAAACTAGGATGAAAAGTGATAAATTATATAATTATACAACATTAGTTCTTCAACCTACGTGTATAATAGCATATAGTCTCGTAAGAATCACTGTTGACCACCCAAGGTTATTTTGCAAAAATCATAATCGTCTAGCATAGTGAAAGTACTATTCGTACATATACTAAAGATAGGAATTGATATCCAGTTCGCATAAAGGATATAGAAATTTCACGCAAAAATTTACATTACAAGTAGTCCATGAAGTGATAGTGCGTCCTGGAGATGTACTTTAGTAGAACGTTATTTCTTATCCTTAGTTATTGGAATCCTATCAAAGTATGTTAGGAAATGTTCATTCATGGAAAGCCTCACAGGATTCTCGATCCGCAGTAAAAAATCTTATACTTACGTGTTAATTAAACCTTTACCGCCTCCACTTAACACAAGGAAAGCATTTTGTGTTTGTTCCATTTTATCTCTCATTAAACTTACAGTTCCCAGCGGAGTGTCAGTAGAACTCATTTTTTTAAATGCCTAATGTAATTGTATGTCATATTGATGAGATAAGAATTAACATAAAAATTGTTTACGTAGTTAATTTCGCACCTCTTCTTCAGCTAATTTTTTATTGCGTTTTTCAATTTTCTTCTTGCCAGATACCTTACCATGGAATCGATGAGATAATTCTCTAAATGCCTGTAGGTAAAATAGGAGATTAGCATTGTTGTTCCGCTTAACCTTAACGCTGAATTTCTACGGACAGTAAGTAGCTCAGATAAGCAAAGGAAATACCTCTTTGGCATTTAGTCGGCGTCCAGAGTCATCAAAGTATTCTAGTTTAAAACCAGGCTTATAGTCATCCTTGTCCTTAAAGCTTGTATGGCCATATCGCGATGATGATCTGCCTCTAATAAGATAAAGGAATACACTCAAATTATCTGTATAAGTTCGAGTATTACATAATCAATTGCAATTATTTCATCTTACAGTTCCTTCAAAAATTTATCGTCAATTTCGTAGGAACTAAATAAAATCAAGGAAAACAGGTTATAGAATCGAAACTGTGTATGATATCTCTTCGTATAGAGTTCTAACACTAATGCCTATGATAGATTGGAAGTTCTTACTTTTGATCCTCAACAACATAGTCAGTGGAGGGTAAATTTAATGGTTTATGGCTAGATTTCTTTTTAGGAGCATCTAAATAGCCTACATGGTGTATGACAAGATCACAAGAAATAAGGAATTCACATAAAAAATGCCAACGCCATTGATATATAAGGGTGCATACCTTTCTTGGAAGCAAGAAGTAAAGCAGCCATAGTTCCTTTGCTGACAATTGGTTCATCGTTCATGAAACCAACTTCTGATTCGTCCTTTAAGGAAAAATAAAATTTGGACATTTAAGAAAAGTAATTTGATACGCTGTAGTTTTAGTTGCGTAGCATTTACAAAATAATTGTATCAGGATTTCATCATGCAATCAATTCATACCACTTCAATTTTAGCTGGTTTCTCATCTTCTGTGTTTACAGGTTCCCAACCGCTGTTTTCAACGTCATCGTCTTCGTCGTCCAGTTCCTACGATCAAAATAATTTCCATTTAATTGCGGTAAAAGTATACCTTGATCGCTTTGTAAAAGCAGTAATTTAAATATCCCGACGTACCATATCGTCAGAATCCTTATCAGCTTCAACTTCAGTAGTACGACCTTAAGTAGAATATAAAAATTGATATCGAGAATGTATTGTTTAGTCTCGTCTAGATTTTTATGTATTATTACAATGTAATATTGAATACCCTGATTTGCTCTTCTAGATGTGCGTGATATTGTTTCACCAAGACTACGACAGAATTCAGTAGTGGTGTTAAAGGTTATTCCGCTAGTAGCCTTGATATCTTCACTAGTATTATCCACGACAGACGCTGAAATTTGGCGGATCTGGAGATTAATTTATACCAGAAAAAGATAGTTAGTAACCATTCGTAGATATTATTGCAGAATATTTATCCTGCAAACTAGAAAAAAGAATTACTTTCTCCTCTTGTGTAAGAGCTTGTTCTTGCAGTTTTCTTCTTCGATTTCTAAAGAATAATAATATAATAAGACGACCACTGGGGCAAAGTGCATTGACGAGATATTTTTTAATCAATTTTACCTGGCTAGAATATTTTCCATTTCAATTTCAGCTTCATCAACAATTACCACGTTATCATCATTACGAACAATCGGATTAACTTCATCATTAATAGTAGGCTGTGTAACTAAAGGAAAAAAACGGGTTAGATACTATTTGACGCTTTAGAGTAAAAAGTTAATGTTAGTCAAATTTACCTGCGCTAATATCATTCGAACTACTAATATCCATAGGTTCACTGGTATCGTTACTTTTCACGAGATTAGATACGGTACTTTTGTTACTGAAAGTTGATATAAGTAAAAATTGATTCTTGGATAAGCTTGATAGCAAACAGAATCCAAGAAACTTACCGTGATCCATGATCTGCACGTTCGTCACTTTCAAGAGGAACAAGGTCATCAGCCTACGAGTTGATAACAATTTTTAGTTCATAGCAAAAATATGATAGTTACTAGTGTCTTTATATTTTATCGAGTAGAAAGGCATAATTAATCAGTATTTTTTACTTTCAAATTTTCACTTTTTCTGATTTTTCGACGCTTCTTCTTAGGCTTTTTGAACTGTACCTAAATTTTAAAAAGAAATTAGCTTCAAGCATACGTTTTTTTACTATGAATTATTGCCCAATCAAACAGAGTTTTAATTACCATTTCTTCAGGTGTATAAAATTCTGAGCTTATTGTTCCTTTGCTATATTCTAAATTAACCTAAAAAATAGCCAATATAGGTAACTCAATTGCTTTTCATAGCATTAGTCAATGGATACTGTACATACGCTCTGCGATTTTATTTCTTCTTTGATCTATAAAAAAGGTAACATTAATTCTTTTAGATAGAGCATAATTAATCAATAGCATACTATTTCATAGTAACCTTTCTCATAAACATTGATAATTTGTTAAGAAATGAACAAAATGATTCACCTGCTTCAATTCATTCTCTATCTTCATGTCTGCCATTCCGGAAGAACCTTTAACCGTCGTAGAACAATGTTTTAATGTAACGATTCGCAATATTTTAAAGAAAATTGGTAATTGTTAACATAAAATATTAGAACGGTAGAATTATTTACCCAGCCGAAAAGATGATTTCTTCTCGCCATCTATAACCTCATCATATTTAGATAACATTTGCTTTGCTTTAGGCTAGAAAATAAATTAACGTAAGGCATCTTAGAAGCTGGATGGCTACCATCTGCATGACATTAATTACATACTATTCCAAGTTCATCCCATTCATCATCGTCGTATGGTTGATAATCTGGCTTTTTCTTCTTCAATTCTATATTTTTGCTAGCCTAGTCATGCCAAATACATATTATTAATAAATTTAATCAATTTCTAGAGCAGTACATACTGGTAGTGTGGCATTAACCTTTTCGTCATCTTTGATATTAACATTTTCCAAGACGTCTTCATTGTTATCTTCTAGAATACCTAGGCGGGGTAATCAATATATTAATATTACATCTAGTGTTATGATAACTTAATTTTAACTACTGTTGGTCTCTTCTGAATTACTACCTTTATCTTGCAAAGTCAAGATTACATTTTGTCCTTCCTACGTTGGAAAAATTATTTTAGTCAGTATCACGTACAATTAAATTTAGGAACTATTTAAGGTGACACGAACAGCTGCATTAATATACCCTACATATTATTCACCTGAAATGCCGTTTTTGCATGTTCAATTTTTAATCCACTTAACGCGTCAGATTTGTATCGATTTTTCGATTGCGCAATCTTTTTGCCAAATTCTGCTTCTACTAAATTGCCGATTCCGAATTCATCATCCATTTCCTCAAGCATTGTAGCCTGTTGAATTTGAAAGTTTTCTAGTATGAGTAAACCATTCAATATCATCGCTATTACATTGCTAAGATTGTCACCCTTTTCTTAGCCATTTCTTTTTCTTTCTCTAATTTACGACTTTTTTCTACCCATGAACGAATATCGCCAGATTGACTATCGTCAATTTCACCTAAAGTTTTGAAATTTCTGTTACAATAAACATTAAAGCAGGTTAGTATAGCAGACTTGCCATAGCTTTTACTTGTACTAATTGTTTCGTAAAGTTTTATTTTTAAAACATCATACTTTAGTTTCTCAGCAATCAAACGCTTCTCTCGCAAAGTGGCAAGCTTTTCTTTTAACTATATAATAATAGTATTTTCATCACTTTTAATATCTTATTAGTGTATATATTATGTATACCCAGTATTTAACAAATTCACTAAATTATAACAAGTGTAACGGTAGTTGAAAATATCTTTATAGATAAGGCATGGATTTTTAAATGGCTAAAGAGAATCGAGTATTTGCATACCTTTTCAGTTTCCTTCATTTCACCCCAATTGACAGCAGGTACGTGGACAAATTCCTTTTCTTTGGTACCATTGTCTATAGTATAACAAATTTAGTATTGGCGGAGGTAAAGTATTAATATTGTTAGAAAAATTTTTCAACACGTCTATGCCGTAATCACTAGGTCTCGTATTTGATTCTGATCTTTGCATATTAATAATCATCATGATCCAAAAACTTACCATCATCATCCAACTGAAGAGGCGCTAGGCCAAGTTGTGCCCTCAATTTGCTGCAAAGAATTAGATACGACTGTGAGGGTGGAGAATTAAAGTTTAACGGATAATAAGAAAGATTCTAAACAGGTAGCAGCTGCCTAACTACCCGTTTAGAAACTTTCCTATCAGCTAGGGTCAATATACACAATGAATAATTTATAATTTAGCAGGCTTATTATTTACTGACGTTGATGACTGTAGAGCTACATCTCAAAGTTACTTACTTTGTGTCTTCTATACTTAATGATTGCGTAGCGGCGCCTCCTGCTATTTACCAGATCCGATGATATTGAATTAAGAAAATAAAAAAAGAGTGAAATAGTTAGGGCCATACAGGCGAGAATTATATGACGATAAAAATTAATTAACCACAACAGTATACCCGTACTACACAATCCTATTTCCTATTTTCTATATGGCATCATAACAATGAATGCGTATGAAAGATTGACACGGAAAAACTATTCTATCTTCTCATATATAGCTGAGATAGGTTGCATATAGTAGAGAAGACATGACAAATTTACTGATCAATAGTTATAGGAATTCGATAACGGTACATGCTATAAGATGCAGGTAACAAAACTCATCAAAAAAACGATGAATCGTATTTCAGAGTGCTTTAAGAAAGAGTTAAAGTAGCGGTAGGAAGTAATGATGCAACGATATTGTTACGATAAGGACTTTTCTAAAAATAGAAGGTAGCAAGTTACAATTAGCTGATACCGTGGCCATTACTATTTTTTATTGACTTGTACCTTGATTATTACCACTGCTAGTATCTTTATCGAGTTGTGCATCATCTTTACTTCGCTTACTACTTTTGCTTGTACGATCAGTATCAAAGTCATGGCGATGACTATCTCTATCTTTCTCCTTCTTACTACTTGATTCACTACGCTCGGGACTTCTGCTCCGGCCGCGACGTTTTATGTCTTCCTTGTCACGGCTGTCACTTCGACGGCGCCGTCTGCTACGTCCATCTCTATCACGACTACCACTACGTTCACGTCGCTTTGATCTATCATGTTCTCGACTTCTGCTACGTTCTCGGCGACGATTGTCTCTTTCTTTGCTCCTATCCCTTCTCTTGGATTTACTACTTTGTAACTCATCACTTTCCTTGACTTTCTCGTCTTTGGTTGATGTACCCATCTTAGTTAAGTAACTGCAGAAGAAATTTTGACGGTAATCCATTAAGATAATAGTAAGTCAATGCTATATGTAATTGCACTCGTACGCCAATCGAATAACTAAATGTTGGTATTTAGCTCATTAGTATAAGAATAGAGCTGTTGATGGCAGAGTTAAAATTTGATTGAATGATCGGACATTGAAGCAGTTACTATTTCTAATAGTCCATGGTGATATTGTAGGGGAGTCAAATCACTGTCATGTTTATAAGCTTTCAATTTCTATCTTGCAAATACGTGTATTGCTAGGTCTAACATTTTTTAAATTGCTTAGTTGTATGGGCAAATACTGTAGTAGCTATCATCGAAATACTTAACTATGAGTTGTTTGTTATGGCGTTATCCTGCACACCTCAGTATTGAATCTAGTGTTTACGGTCGACTCATCCATCTTTTTAATCTATCCCAATCTTTTCTACAGAAACACGCATAGTTATGAATAAGCTAAGGTATTGTAGAAAAATTCGAGTACTGAACAGTATGAGTTTATCATTTTAAGAGACTATTTTCAATTACAATCATCATCTACAGCAATGAATCATCATTTTATTTCCACCATACGTCTAGAAGATATTTCAGTATACACCATTCATCGTTACAACAGTGATGTAAATTGAAATAATGTTAATTTGTGTTGCGGACTGTTATGGTATAGCGTTAACATAGGGTGCTATTCTCAACTTGACTGATTGTACTGTAATGGATATCCAATTGGATTATTTTTAATCGCAGTCGTAGCATGTAGCAATAGATCCTCATTTTATTTCCAGGATACATATAGACATTTATTATATCACCATTGGTCGCTACAGCAGTAATGTAAATTGAAATGATGTCAACTTGTGCTGCGGACTGTTTGATATTGCGTTAAGATAGAGCATTATTTTCAACTTGACTGATTGTCATAATGTCCAATTAGACTATTTTTAATCGCAGTTCTATCATGCAGCAATGGATCGTCATTTTATATCCAGGATACGTTTAGATGTCTAGTATATTATCATTAGTCGTTACAGCAGTAATGTGAATTGAAATACGTCAACTTGTGTTGCGGATTGTTAGGATAGAGTATTATTCTCAACTCGACTGATTGTCATGACGTCCAATTGGACTATTTTTAATTGGAGTTATATCATGCCGCAATGGATCATCATGCTATGTCCAGGATACATCTAGATATCCAGTATATCATCACGACTGATTGTCATGATGTCCAATTGGACTATTTTTAATCGCAGTTCTATCATGCAGCAAAGGATCATCATTTTATATTCAGTATATCATCATTTGTCATTGCAGTAGTAATGTAAATTGAAATGATGTCAACTTGTGTTGCGGATTGTTAGGATAGAGTATAATTCTCAACTGGACTGATTGTCATGATGTCTCATTGGACTATGTTTAATCGTAGTTCTATCATGCAGCAAAGGATCATCATTTTATTTCCAGGATACGCAGAGACATTCAATATGCCCATGGTAGTAGCATGCAGGTAAAGTAGGTGAAAATTGTGCAAATTATCCATGGTATCATTGCAATAACATGGAAAAGGCTGTCAAAATGGGGCAATAGACCCACACTATCATGCAGTATTGCAGAAAAGAGAATTTTCAACTTACGATCACTGTGGCAACCAAGTGGTGGAATGCAGACTGGTGGAAGTAACCAACTCAGTGAGTTTGTATTGGATTGGTAAGCGTTGCTCAGTATAGAATGGAATAAGCAAAGAGCTCAATAACGACTCGTTTACTGTCTTGAAGAAGAAAGGAATAAAGCTTAAAGAGAACGAATAACGTGAGCAATTCTTCAGAGAGATTTAGGCCAAGTTGGAGCGCAGCAATGGCCAAGGAGAAGATTGGTGTAGTCTAGTATGGTGATTGGGTTGGCCTTTTTGATAGAGATGCACGCAATCTGATAATCTCTATGCTATAGTATGAATGATTGTTGCTATTACCTACACTAACGTAGTTTTAAGTGTCGAGTCTACTATGGAGTGCGTACGTTGTCATCACGTTGGTGGCTACGGTGAGCATGCCCAGTGTAGCAAGATGGACCTGAAAATACACTGACTTCAATGGCATTACCGAGGTCGAAAGCCGGTCAAAAGCCATCGATTTTCGGGATGTTTCAGTACCAATCACAATGGTAGGTAGGTAGCAAAGCTGTAGGGATCAACAAAACTCGTCGCCGTGTGGAGAAGGGCAGTTTCTTGGATGATTATTAGACGTGTATATTATACCTATAATGATCAACCGAAATGTCCATGCTAAGCTAGGATACAGCTGTTTCATGAAAGCAGTCTCTTCTGCCATTTTGCTGATTGACGATTCACTGCAGCTCTCGAAGAAGACTTGGACCGGACACTGGACGGCGGACACTCTTTGGACGGACAGACACATAGCCTCCTCCTCCTCTTCCATCCGCCATTTTGTAGATTGAGGAGACACTCAAAGCATACTTGGACCGGACACTGGACAGCGGACACTCTTTTGGACGGACAGATATGTGGCCTCCTCTTCCATCCGCCATTTTGCTGATTGAGGATTCACTAGAAGTCACTCGAAGAAGACTTGGACCGGACACTGGACAGCGGACACTCTTTTGGACGGACAGACAGGTGGCCTCCTTTCCTCTTCCATCCGCCATTTTATAGATTGGAGGATTCACTAGAAGTGCACTCGAAGAAGACTTGGACCGGACACTCTTTTGGACGGACAGACATTTGCTTTCCTTTCCTCAACCAATTGGAATGGACTAAGTTTTTTTCGAAATTAAGTAATAATATTATATTGTATTCCGTTGCCTGATGCTAAACTCTGCTTGCAAGCAGTAACTTCAGATCAACCATGTTATTCCCATCAATACCAATGATTTGGAAAACGGACACGGAAGAATCAGACTGAGCAACTTTGATGGGCTATTTGGGGATAGTCCGTCCATCTGAAGCTCAGTCTACAGTACTTTCGAGGGGTCCATGACTGACTACTACAGTACAGTACAGTACTGTACTACGGACGTACTGTGTACAGTCCGTCCGTAGCAGCAGGCCGTTGACCCGCGGTAACACTGGTTCAGACTCAGAAGTGGTGAAGAGTTTGCAGTCATGGCGGCAAAATCGACTCCAGACAATCATTGCTATCGTCAAATCGTCATTAATAACAGCCAAGAAGTCCAATGGAAACATTTAGTGATACCATTACCTGATAGTGCAACCAATAAGAAATCGGAATGGATTATTCCTCCATTTGCTGGCGGTTTCAGTTATAAAAATGCAGGCAATATTAGCTCAGCATCCAGGAATAGATTCATTCTATGGTAAGTCCAGACAGACGTTCATGCTGTCCTTGATGTCGTCCACGCTTTTCTACTTTAGCTCAAATGGATATGTTAAATGAATAGAATGATAGTCTACTAGTCTACAATAGAAAATTCCAATACCATAGATTATCCATGGTCAGCTAACGTAGTCAATTGCTCATCCTTTGGATCCTATCAACGGATAACTATCGTTACAGGGATGCCGAGCTTAAAGCTCGTTCTTGTCGTGGGTAGCTGGCCCATTTCATAAGCTTAGGGTAGTATTCATTTGGACCTAAATTCAAAGGATAGCGATCGTTTCTATCTTTAGTATCTCTCAGATATACGATCAAGACAAATGATTCCTTTGAAGCTTAATGTTCAAGCTAGCTATGGATTCATTCTCTTGCATTTTCCAATCCTGGACAAAAATGATCAAAATAGGCTTGTACTGGATTTCAATGTCAATCAACCATTGCCCCCTAGTCCCCTAATCGGCCATTTTTTAACTGGTAGGATATATTACAACTTATCTAAAAATGGCAAGGTAAAGGTGTCGTTACAATGTTCTCCTATTACAAACCACCACCGGCCAATCGTTGCTGTTCACTTATTTGCACCGACTCTAAATACAAGTACGCTAGAGTAAAGCCGGCAATAAAGAAATGGATCCAATACCATCTTAAGAGATGACAGGACTTCAATTTGTTGCGTCGGTCATGGACATTGCAATGCTATGATACTGATTTCCTACTATCACTGGGAGCTTCCATATCTTTCGATTGCAAATCATGTCCATCGATGGATTGGCTAAATAATAAAAATTGGACACTTTGCATAGAATGTTAAAACGATAGAAATTTCCCATGCTTCTAGCTTATTGTCACCTACTCTAACAGACGCTGATATACACTGTATATTATACAGTAGTTGTACACAAAATTGTTATTGCAAGTTGTAGCTAACCATACGATAACTTGTCCAAGCCAATCGTCAATTGCATAATCATCTACTTGGATTGGTACCACTATTACAATATTAGAACTTTAGTCGATATTTACTGTTGTACTACTCCATTCTGATTTCTGACCAATAAATTGATAAAGTGCCTTATCCAATGATACCCGAACATACGTATAGTTTGTGACATAGTTTCTTCCTCAAAGATGTACTATCGTAGTGTGTACACTTTTTAGTCAATATAAAGGTAAAATACTAATTTTTATGCTACATGTTGTAGGCGATGCCAAGATGACGTTATCCAATTACAAGAAGTATGCATGGATTGCAATCTAATAGACAACAACATCCAATTGCGCTTTCCAAATAGTCGACTATTACCCAATGTTGTCATCAGGGAAACGGAGAAAAATATTACATTATTGCTGGCAACAGATCATAGTGTTCATCGTTTTACTTTATCTCATCCTGACAAGTTATCAAGAAATGCAACGGTGGCTATTTCTGCATTTTGACCTAGCAAATTGACATCATACAATTGTATCCCTATTACGATCTAATGTTACTTTCATAACGTTGCCTCTATTTAGAATTATGGCCAAACCTCCAATAATACTGCACTATCTATCCTGGCTAGCATTACCTTAAAGGATAGCCTACAATTTTGTAATTACGCTGGGCTACCTGCTATTGGTAGAATGGCATCGGCTGAGTTATTGCAAGACAGTTCAGCTATTTTTGCTGTAATTTTACCATCTTCTATTAGTATAATCATACTTCCTCCAGTTTCAAGTAACGGTATGCTGCTATATTCGTTACTTTATATCGACATTGATATTTGCCATAACTTTCGTAACGTTTTTTGATCGATTCTTTTATCATAATTCAATAATAATAATTCTATTAGAAGGTGCAAGAATATTGGAAATTCATCCTGGGACTTTTGTTCAGCGTTTAATTAGTGGCTTCATATTTGGATCGAAAATGTACCTTCCAATTATATAAAATTAGTTATGCTATTTCATGAAATGATTGCCTTTTTCAACTAATGGATCACACGTATTGCCTTTTATGGTTTGACAGGATCACATCAGCAGATAACAACTTACTTCCACAAAGTATCTCATTTCGTCGCTTATCTGACGGCAAGTTATACTTATTTATGATTTGCCATCGATATCAACTCCGTATTTGGTCGTTAGAGGTAACTTGCGAATGAAGGTTCGACTACGGTCTAGAAGATCACATTTTTATTATTTCCCTATTGATCGTTTTTAGAAAAATGATTTCATTTTGCACATGGACATGAACATCTACAGGCCATCATCGGCTGATAGCGATTCTTCTGCAGGTATGTACAAGCATAGCATTTTTTGCTAACATATGGGACTATAGAACTTCATTCAAGCGATTATATTTATCATTTCGGTTTCTTGCTTATTCTCTGATTTTATGTCAGCAGTAGCTGACCAGCCAAATAGGCTAAGTACCTCGTATGGAGACGTAGGTGAATATGTTGGAGTATTCTTATGCTATCCGGATCATGTACAGGTAATGACAACATTACACCCTATCTTATAGCATTGAATTTAAACATCAATTATTTATCATATAACTTAGAAATAATTCATTTGCTGGTATTCCATACTTGACTCTGATCCTACTTGCTGTGTGTTATATTTTAGTTTACCCTACTTAATCCAATACTCGATAATGGAAAGCTAACTATGCAATATTTAGGCTCAGTGAACGATACTAACTCGGTCTGTGTTTTAATTTGGGTGAAACTTTATTTCATGATTGGTAATTGATTTATCTGCAAACTTAAATTTACTGACCTGAGTAATATGGATATTACAGAATATTTTTATCAGTTTTGCTGTAACAAATCAAAATATTTGGACGCTATGGAAGAATAGCAAAGGCGAAACTCTTTTAAAATTTCTTCCCGTACTTAGGTATGTTACCATTGAACAGGATTGATTAAAGCGCTTAATATACTATACCTAGATGAATGTAAGCACCATCTAAAAGAATGATACGAATACTGAAATATTATGAAACGATTGCTTTAGTACTCAGAAGAATCCTGTAGGTTGGCATCAAGTAAATGTATCCTCAAACGAAAATTGCGATACTGATGGATTAAATGATAGCGACGTTGAGGTATATATATGAGATATCATTAGTTTTTGCTCGTAAAGCAGCTTGCAGCTAACATTTCGGTTGCTGTATATATTTATACCTTAGGAATACTTTATGAGATTTATATTTTTTCCTGGACGATTTTCGCGCTCTACAATTGCCAAAGCTATCCAGGTAATATTGCAATCAATATTGCTGCAAAGTCTTTCAAGCAATCAATGCATTTAATTACTGTAACATTATTGCCTGTAGATTACGAATCATGCTGTCACAGGACAGAATACGACGTTATCTGGAGTTTATGGAGAAGGAAGCCCTCCATCATTGGATTTATTAGTAAAAGATGTAATCTCGTTAATGTCATATCAAGTTAGTAATAGGTCATTTTCACATATGGTAATTGCAGAATAAAAAATAAAAATTAATCGAGCTCGCCGTTCATATTTGCGCCAAATTCAGATTCAGTTAGCGTGTGAAGTTTATGATGAAATATCGGAGGAGGCGCTAAGGAGTATTCAAGAGAACTGTTGGTCCAAATTTTGTAATAGCTGTCAAGACTTTAGCCAGGTATAAATGCTAGTTGTCCTTCATTGCCTAAGCACATTTATATATTGCAGCTTTAGTCATAATGGTTCTCGACACTTTTAGATCGAACGCGAAGCGTTTGGTATTTTTACTGATAACAGTACCGGATTGGCTTGCATTATTAGAAGAAATTCTACTTCCTATATATATCCAACTGATGTTTTAGCAAGTTTCTGGGATAAAACTTTAACTTATACCAACGGTATAACAAAATTTAAATCTATTCAAAAAAATGACTTTGTTAAATTTTATTGACAGACTAACAGAGGATAGTAATCAGATCTTCTCTATTTTAGGTATAGCCGATAATATTGCAATGCTTATTGAATGTATTGACTTAATCAAAACGCACTTAACTCAAGAAATTCACCTTCGTATCGAATATGATCTACATCGTGGTCTTGATCCGATTATGACTATTTCCGATATTGCTGAGCAAATATCTGGAAAGTACGTCAGATTTACAATTATGATAATTTCATATCTTAAAAATTAAATTTTTGCTGTATTTTATTCTATTGCACGGTAGTTTAAATACTGCATCTCCAATGGCTAGTACACCGCATTACGATCTTATAACTACCTTGGAGAAGAAGTAAGCTTTATTTGAAAGCTTGAAATCGTTTTCGATAATCATTATTTTTTAGCTTGTTTAAGCTCAGCTTCAAATTTCCTTATAGATTGATTGCAATAGGGGATATCTCAGCGGCTATTAGCAATACGATTGAACTTTTGGACGTATTTGAAAAGATTGTTGACAGTAATGAAATTACAACCGATAACGAAGGTGGTAGCAAGTCTTTAATACTTATTTGGTAATTGTCTTACTCAAGTCTGCAAAACTATTTATTTTAGGCATTGAACAAATTAGCTGTGGACGATTGTATAGCAGTAGGATGGCAATGAGGATTCTTTCTACAGCACTTACGGATATCGCCCATGTGCGATTTGGGATTTGCTGCGATCTATTGCTACTACAATCTTGTATTCTCTATTTCGAAAATAAGGTGCGTTAATTGTCGGAATCTTGCAAATGATCTGTATGCAGATTTAGCACCTGTATCTGATCTTGTGCTTTAAAATATTATTTTGACACACTATCGTTTCTCAGGCTTTTCTACATGAAGGAGATCATTGCAATACTATAAAATGTTTGTTAATACCTCATACGATGAATTTACTACGAGCATACTATTCAATCTATTGGCTCGGTCAACAGCCTTGTTCGGCAGCAAGTGGAGACGAAATGTATGCACTATTTACTTTTATCTTTCCACTTTATTCACTTTTGTCAACCGTACAGCAAACACTATACTGTATTATAGTGCTTATTAAAGATGTTATGCTAACTGTAATTATACTATTTCGATAGGGAGTTTAATATGCGTCAGCTAGCTGCCTTAGAAATTTCTTCAACTTCTGGTCTTTTCTCGGCTGTAATCGCAGGTAACTTCAGCATCTTACAATGGAACGATTTATATTCGTATATTCTAAGCATAATAAAATTTCATAGATCCAAACTATACCTTGAGCGAGCTGTATTTAGCTGGATCAGCTGGATTTAAAATGAGATCGCTTTTAATGCAGTCAGAAGTCTGGCATGATCGACTTACGAATTCTAATAATTGGTTACTATGGCCTGATGTTGCGCAAGCTTGCTTTGAAAAGCTACTGCAAATCTTGTATCTTACTTACGAGCCTTACCTTTAGCCAAAACTTTCAATATGATTATACTTTATTTCATTCATAAAATTGTGACTATTCTCTTTGACTCATAAATGTACAGCTGGCCGGAACAGTGTAGTGTTTCGTTAGTAGAATGTTTGGTCGCAAATTGTCAGTACGAAGAAGCAAAGGTAAGATGTAGTTGAATATGGAAAATAGCAAATTTTTTGTTAAAGAGCAGTTGCTGTAGTTCCACAACTCACAATCAACAATGATTTTATTCGTAATTAAATAATTAATGCACGGTTTTAGTTCTATGTAAATATGGTAAATGCCATAACAGAGGAAGGCTTAGCCGCTCGTGAATTCATGCTAGGGCAGTGCTATTTAAGTACTGCGGATGGTAGTAAAGCTCTGGAATGCTTTATTTCGGCTTCAAATGGGATTGGTATGCAGTATTTGTCACTATCTAAGATTAAATTGTTTCCTAATATTCTTGGCTATTTTCAATTAATGACTTTGGTGAATCTAAATGATTAATCGATATGTCTACAGCTTCAGATAGATTCTTTTGGAAATTATTAATGTCCGAGGTCTATAATGAAAAACGAGTTACAGCTCTTTATTATATGAAGGTGTGAATACTTTGATTTGATATATGTATTGAGGAATAACTTTACAATTGTGCAACATTCTATTCGCTACTATCTCTTGAATTTGTAATTTGTCTAGTTTTAAATCTAATGCAGCGGTATCAGGTAGTTGCTATTGTACTGTAGGCAGTATGATCAAATTTATCAACTTAGAATCTGAAATTTTTATTTCCATGTTTCTAAAGGTCATGCGTCTGTTTGAACAATTTTCCTACTTCGATTTGGCAATTATTGCTGCCCGCACTGCCATCAATTCGGTAGATTCCTGCGATGAGGAGATTGTAAGTTTTTACTTAGCAATTACTGTATATTGATATGTTAAATAACTGTAATGTTTCTGTTATTTAATTGTAGCCAGTATTTTGGTCAAATATCTTCAAGTATTACTTAGAACTTGGTCAGGCAGAACAGGCATATAATGCTCTTGCATCAAATCCTGATGTTGAGCGCCAGAAGGATTGCTTGCAGCTTTTTGTTACTGTTCTTTGTGAAAATTTGGATTTTAAGACCTTATGCCAATTTCCTTACGAAGGATTTGTCGATATCGTGAGTTCTTTTAACTGACTGTAATGATATCGAATAGCTTGTAAGTACACTAACAATACTATTAAGCTCTGTACCATATTAATATATTCACCTAGGTATCAGAAATCATGTTGAACCGAGCTCGCAATGTTAGCATGTCGTCCAATTGTTACTATGATCAACTATACTCTTTTCATGTATTTAGGAATAATTTCAGAAAAGGTAAGTTTAGTATTGAAGGTGCACAATGTATGTTGCTAAGGGCGCATTTTCTAAACGATATTACTGTTATATTTAGCTGCTTGTGTAATGTATGAATGCGCTTCTCGTCTGGCTGAAGAATGTGTTGGCGTTGCTAGTCTACAACAACAGGTTGAAAGATAGCTTGCTATGGCATACAACACATCGCGAATGTGCATCATTATTTAAGGTTTTATATGTTATTTTATAGGCTAAGTGCTATTTAGTAGCTAGGAACTCTCTCCATTTAGTTACCGCCGACCGTCGTTGGATATTATGCCCTAAACTAGAGTTACCGATATCTGTAAGATGCTTCGGTTTTTTATAAATAAAGGTTATAACTTGAGAAAGTAATATTTATGAGTTCTTGTAGAAATCTAACGCTTTGGATAAATCCGAGAATGCCGCAGAGATTAGTGACATAACTGACATCTGTCTGCGTAAGTAGTCCAATGAGATGCTACCTTGGTAGATCAATTATTTTGCTGTCAGTACTAAGGCTAAATTTTTTGCTTTCAGCGACGTTAAAAAATTGTGTTGTAGGTAGCAAGATGGTAGAAGTTGGTGATGTTGATAAAGATTATATGCTCGTAATATCTCGTCTACAAATACTACAAAGAGATGATAACACTAAGTATTCTGAAGGTAATTTATTGTTATGTTCTAATTATTATTGCATGTCAGTATCCTGTGTAAATAAACCATCGTATCAAGTAGAGTAATTTTTATCTGATACCATTAACCTGTGAACTTACAGGCCAATTCACTCCCGAAGAAACTCTGGTTTATCTGATATCGGCTGGTTTATTTGATACCGCCTTTTCACTTGCACGTGCTTTTGATATACCATATAGCAAAATCTTTGAAGGATTGGCTTACAAGTAAGTATCATAAATGTTATACATAGACGATGTTACTGGGAATAAAATTGTAATGATCTTTTAACCTCTGCGAAATCGTTCTAATTTTTCTAATTTTTTGTAAGCAATTCAATTTGAACTGATTTTAAAAGAATTCTATTATTTTGATTTTTGTTAAAATTGCGAAGGTGTTGCTCACTATCAAACGATCGCAAAAATGGGTATGGAAAATATCTTTTCGTCAACTAATTAAGGCGTATGATGTTGTGTTAATATTATATTTCGCTACATTTATGAGCTGTATCTGTTATTATCCGTTAGCTATCAAATTGATGACAGCGAGTTAGCCTGGCTAAAAGCGAACGATTTTTCATTCGTATGCTCTAATAGGGAACTGAGGTATTGCATGAGTAAACCTGTGATTTCTGTAGTTGTTATCGAGTTTAAACTTGTATTGCTATTGTATTAGCCCTACAGATCGAGCATGGCTATTATTGGAACATTATCTGAGTTATTTTGATGGTGCTGAGAGTAGCACGTTTTATGCTTGCGTTATAAATAAGCTGCTGTCTCTAAATTGTTCTTTGCCGTACTGGTTATCGTCATCGTTAAAGGTGATTTTTCATACCTAATTTAGTTATACGCGTATGTTATATAAGAAATTTATTGAATTTAATCGATAATTGTAATTCGTGAAGAAATTAGACTTGGCTACACTTCTGCGCCTGTACATCCAGTATGACTTTTTAAGTGAAGCTACGCAGCTGGTTATGGATTATATTGATGCTGTGCACGGGATTCATACAGCGGAATTCGGCCTTAAGGTAAGGTTATTTAGCTAAAAGAAGTTATTGATGATATTACGACTTTTAAAGATGTATTGATTGGTAAAGACTGTAATTTTCTAATCGTTATTGAACAAATATTAATGAATGAATTAGAATGCTGCTCATGCCGACAGTCCGAGCGTTTGGCTGCCTTATTCATCGATTGATCATTTGTTACAGTTACTGGATAAGATTTCATCGGAAACAGAGTTGTATAAGGTTGAATTTATACACAACAATGTCGAAATAATATACTTATTATATTACCATAGTGAATCTTGAAAGTATATTGTATAACTCTTATTAATTTAATTCTTAGTTAAAGAAAGAATTGCAAGACAAACTTGGGCGATATTTAGAATTTGCTGATAAAATTTCAGTAATTAAGATTGATAACGAGCAAAGTCGGAGAATGACCAGAGAATTACAAGGCGTTGCAAGTGCAGGCAATATACCATTCCAGTTTGTAAAGTAGCTAAGGACTAAAACATATAATTCCATAGTCTCTAGCTACGAAAATGTAAAACATGTATTATTTTGATTACGAGTATTCGACTGGCTTTCGATTATCAAACTTCATCGTTAACTTTTTTTGTAAAAACTCTGAAATTATTATACATACGCATATGCGGTATACACCTTTGTATAATTAGGCTTAATTCATGTGAAATTAGTTTTTCATGCATTGACGAGCATTAAGATACTCTTAAAGGAAGTCAATATTTGCTATACTAGAATATTGACTCAATTCAGGTTTATTTAAAATTTAACGTTCGATGATTTATAAATACAGTATAAACGTATTAAATAATGCTTGCAGTAGTGATTACGTATAGTATATAGCGGTAGATTAAACTAATCTGACGTTCTAAAAGAAAATGAATTGGATTGAACTGTGACTACATAATATTAATAGTCGCTGGCCTTCATTACTACGGTAACGCCACATTTGTATGAGTTAGTTTGTACGTATCATATTTTACGTGCATTCTTATCCAGTTCATAGTTGCATATAACGTGCTGTACTTTTCTTCGAGTTAATAGTTTCAACTTTCTATTATTTGCAGTAAGGGTACCGTATGTCATTTAAGATTATGTTATACATTAAGTATATAAGGTAGTTAATTAAATATACATTGAGTGGTATTTATGTAGGGCAAGTCTTAAGGATGTAGTACATATAGCTGTATTTTACTTCCGGATTATCGTGAATGACTGAAATTCTCGAGACGCTATAGAAAGATTGTTTTTGAATTCGCATTTTGTTATTCTTGATTTAGGGCTTCCTTTCGTTGATAACCAAATTCTCCTACAACGTAGCACATTTGTAAAATATTAATATACGTGTATCTTGTACAGTGTAAGAGGATTGCAAGTTTATAAATATATATATATATATATGTATACTATAATAAAGTAATTACATTAAATTCTAAAGTTTAGATTTCTGTGTCGTCGCTACAACCGATATTATAATAGACGTTGCAATAAAATAAAATTTTTTTTTAACATATATACACATACATGGTCTCGATACTATCATGTGGTCCTTGAATGACCCCGACAACGGTATTGTGAGGGGTATTTTTGACCCAACCAACTAACTTTAATTGATTAGCTTTCTTTTCTGTATGCTGTAATAGTGAAAGATTATATTACATGAAGCATTATAAAATCAAATTCAGCCAAGGATTGACTTATTGTAAGAATCGGTGAACTAGTAGTAAGGCAGAGAAATACAACATATGTTATATTTACCTTTCTAAAGAAAACACCTAGCCAGAAGCATAATTCATTGATTTCATGGGCATGGTATTGAAAGATGCATTAATTATTCAGCTTATTACAAATGTTATGAGTTTGTAGCTAGTAGAATATTATTAGGAGCATCAATCCAAATTAAAAACTTTTGCGATCTATCAACTTGACACGACATATGAAACGCTGTCTCATTGATCACAATTAATGTTCGTTTGTAAGATCTTAGAATTATTCATGTAACAAGTCACTGATGATTCCAGTATATGCCAAATCAATCAACACTAGGTATTATGGTCTGCTTTTCTATTTATCATATATGACTGAAAGTATAATTTTAGCATACTAATTCACTCATAAGTGCCATGTCTATCTGCTATCCATAAAGTTTCGTATAACAGTCCTATATAGCTCAGAAATTGTTACTCTTTACATCATGGATTGCCAAATACATAGTTAAAATGATAGCGTAGTTTTGGTCACAAGCGTATAAATAGTAGGAATTCAGATATACTTGCTCTCTGCCATTATGCAGTATCACTGCAGCTATAAACTACAGGATATTTTAGAGCTGTTACATAAAAAATTACTCTTACTGCAATTGTATACTGTATGTACTCTAGTATTTTAGAGCTGTTACTGGAATTACTCAGTCATTGGGTAATACCTATGACATCCTACTATCGTTTAATTTTTAATTTCTATCGTGATCACAAATCGTAGGGTGGTGAGCAATAGCTACACTAACTGTTGTATTAACTATTACGTTATGATTCTTCTGATGGCTTACAGTTGGCACCTGATCATTAATGTACATGACTGTCATGTAGGATGATATCGAATTAGTAGTAGAAATAGAGAATGTATTGAGCGATTGAAATCTCATTCTTTGTCTTTCTCACCCTCAATTTGCGGTGACTAATCCGTAGTTATTATGCTTTTACAGATTAAATCTGTATACCTTATCGATCATTACTCACACTAGGTATTACAAAATTAATATCTCATGGAAATTGAAGAGGTTGGATTTAAATCCGGATGATGCACTCCAACTCATTCATAAAAAGAAATTTAATAAACATCCTGCTATGATCGATCCAATCTTCAAGTACAGTATCATTAATTCTACTTGATGATCGATACTATTCAGGAATGAATAATGTTAAGGGAAAGATAGCACTTTGTACTTCCATCAACGTTGTTAACCAATCAATGAAAGCGAACTACACCAATTGAAATGCAACCGCAAGTGAATGACTGTGACAGATCAGAATGAGCTAATATTAAGACTAACTAATTCGATAAATCAATAGAGTGAAAATACCTTGGACATTACCAAAGACTTCAAATTCAACTGATCGAAATCGAGTTGCAGTAGCCATTTGTGACATTTGAAAATGGTGGATCAATCTTGTCGAGCCAAGGATAACCACAATTAATAACAATATAAAAAAAAAAGCTCTTTGCAAAGCGAACATGTAAACAGCTTAGGCTTCAAAGTCCTCCTAAACTAATTTAAAGTAGGCTAATCAACGTTTAATAGGGAATAAATTAAGTGATATAATGCAATCTTCTGCTCTATTTCTTAACCGATGATGATTGTTATTATTATTGCTCGTCATGGGAAGATTTTCAAATGCAGCAGCAGCGCTGCTATGGTGATTATACAGTACGCGTACTGTAAGAGATGTACTGTAGAACCTTACATACTGTACTGTACAGTACTGCACTAGACGAAGGCGAAGGGTTTGTCCGTCTGTCACGCAGCACGAATACTGTAAGGGATGTACTGTAGAACCTTACATACTGTACTGTACGTGACTATCGGCGAGGGTCTGTCCGCCTGTCACGTCTGTCTGTAGACGAAACGATATAAAATGATTCATGGCGGTCGTGAAGAAAACCGTCTGGAAGTGATGGACAAACTCCAAAGCGAACGATGCCCAAAAATGTGTTTGAATCTTATAAATTCATTCTATTTATTGAAATTATCTTATACTGTGAAAGAAGACGAGCTGAACGATATAAGTTGAACTTAACTTGTAAAAGTTGCTGCGCCAATGAAGGAAAATATTCGGTATTACGGAGCTCAGTATGGAATTGAACTGACAAGAAGCGTTCGAGCCGCAAAAATTTTCACTAGAGAGTGATTCTTCTATTTTATTCATTTTTTTCTAGGACTAAATACCTCCATTCTAATAAATTGTAATGCATATTTCACAGATGAAAGCATTAGGAGCAGCCTTTCCACTGGCTGTAAAGAATGCACACTGCAAGGTAGAGTGGAAACCTTCGCTAAAATCGCGTTCTGAATGGACTATGGCGCCAAATGGCGGTATTGAAGTTAAACATTTATATAGGCATCCATCCAATCAGCTTTACTAATTTGAAAAATGAGCTAAAACTTGGTGATAAGATTAACGAAGAGCAGAGCTTTGAGGATTTAAAAGATCTTTCAAAAATTGAAACATGTTTTAAATAGTTATGACAATTCTTGTGCCCGCTGGAGTCTATTTGACCGCGGTCTTGCGGTAGCGAATTTTAAGGACTAGAGCTTTATGCCTGACATCTGCAAATAGTAGTTCATGCTGTAAGTTAACAGCTTGCGTAAAAAGTTTTCTCATTCGATTCAGAGTAAGAAATGGACATTTCATAGACTTTTAGTTTGAAGGTATATCATCTCGAACGCTCTGGTCATGGCAATATCGCTATTAGGGATAAAATCATGACATCAGCTAATAAGAAGAATAAATCAGCCTATTGTGCAATTGAGCTCATTTCACTTATGCATAAAAATCTCTAGTATTTAGCTCAAGTTGCCTTGTGCGTTCTTAAATATATCTACAATAGTTTGGGAGTCGTTTTGTTTCTAATTTAAATATGCTTAAATCATACGTAAATTGAGAATTATATTTGCAAGACTAGAGTAGCTGTGTTCAAGAACGCAGAGAGCAGCTTGAGCTAAGTACTGGAGCATTTTGTGGACAAATGGAATGGACTGTTGTATGCATGAATATCAATGCTTGGCCCCCGTCTACGTCGAATAAATCGCTCGTACTTGGGTTAGAAAAGACGTATAGAAGTCCCCTTCTGTCTCATCCACATCGTCTATTTGCACTATATGCTACCCCAAATCTATTTGAAATATGGCTTTGTTAATTAAACAGGGAAATTAGAAATAAAAGTTAATTTGGAGCAGAATAGCGCAGATGAATACGAGTATCTACAAGGTCAAAGTACAACAAAATTCTGCTAAACTCTTTCTTATCCTCCGGACGTGTAGACATCAACATCTGTTTCCTGCCGGATATAACAGTACCTCTACTTTAGTTCATAGCTTTTGCCTCAGGGTATAAAAAAATTCTTTATAATCTATTACCAGGTAATATTCGTCTATACAAAGAACAGAATGGGACTTTCGTGTGGACTCAAATATCGAAATCTAGTAACAAATTTCACCTGATATCACCCTAAATAAATTCCGGTTAATAAAGAATTAGAGACTCGCATTTCCAGATGCTATCGTTATGTATGAAGGTATAGTGAAGTCAATTCTTAAGGGTCTACAATAAATCTGGCTAACTGGATTGAAAACCTGAATTAAGCTTTATTACAATAAAATCAACCGTAACTGTATTTACAACAAACTGTTAACAAGAAGAACTCCCGATCTACTCGTTGCATACGTTTATAAATCCTAGCGCATAACTCATTTAGTAATGGTAGTAACATTATCACGCTTCCAAACGCTCAGCATGGGCATTGAATTACCATATTTCACCTAGGCACGACCAACTAATCGTATTAAACTACGCAAGTATTATATCCTACTTTAGCACATATTAGTAATTCCATATTTAGATAAGAATACAACTCAAGTCCAAAATTTACGACACTATCCTAAGAAATCTCTTTGAAGTGGGATAAAAATTTCCTGATAGGCAACTGATTGAAAATTCAATCGTTAGACGGTTACTCTTCTATCATCCGTCCTTCAGATAGTATTACGAACAATCCGTAAACATTTAATGATCAATCCAATCAAGTTATTAAAAGTAGGATAACACTGATGTTCAATAATACTCTATTTTGTCATGACAACAGCAAAGGCCATCTTCTAATTATAGTTATTTATACGGATCTATAAATAATCCTACTCCATAATCTAATTTATATTTCCTTCATCATTTTGTTTTATGATCGTACAGTAGTATCAATGCGAGTACAATCTAAACTATAGTATATAAGCCATAACGATTTTTTTCAAAGTATGAAACGAAAAAATTTAGCCAATGTCAGAGATTAAGTTGGTGTATTAAGTATCAAGTTCCCTGGCATACATTTTTAAATGACTTGAAATGCTTTTAAGAATTTCAGGTGTTTTAGCTATGACTTTTAAAAATTCTGCAGCACCATTCCTTGCCAAATAATCTATAGTTTCATCTGGGCAGTAAGATAGTAAATTGCAAAGTGCTCGTTCCGCTTGACAACTAATTTTCTCGTTTTCCGACTGTAAAGACCAATAAGAAAATAAGTTAAGGGTTATTCATTTAGTCAACAGTAAATTAATCCATATATCAACACTTGAATAGACACTAGACATGCTAAATAAAAAAATCATTCATAAGTCTACCATTAAAGATATTTTACAATTTTTTAGTACAGTAATACATATATATATATATACAATTGATGGATATTAGACATGCAAAATGGAAAAATTCATTCGAACGCCTGCCGTAAATGATATTTTACAATCTTTTTCAGTAAATTGATATACTGTACATGCCAACACATCAAATGGCCGTTAGATATGCGAAACAAAAAAATATCGTCCAAAAGTGTACCTATAAGTGATATTTTATAATTTTTTCGGTCATTTAATATACGTGTCAACAATTAAATGGACGTTAGACATGCAAATTCAAAAAATCTTTCAAACATCTACCTCTAAATGATATTTTATAATTTTTCAATAAATTAATATATCGATATATATCACGTATCAACAAATTAAGTGGATGTTAGATATGCTAAATAAGAACAGTATCATCCATAAATTTATCTATAGATGACATTTTATGATTTTTCAGTAATCTAATATATCGCATGTCAACAATTGAATAGATGTTAAACATGCAAAATAAAAAAATGTCATCTATAAATTTACCTATAAATGATATTTATAATTATTTTTTCGTATAAATTACTTTAAATATTCAACAGCTCTATGCATATGAGACATGCAGAATAAGACATTCTTTCGTACGCAAGTTTACCTTTAAATGATATTTTATAATTTTTTCAAGATCTTTAACCTGTAATCAAGTATCGAATAGAATATTGGAGATTAGACTAATTGAGTAGGGTAAATTGATCGATAGTCCTTACCAAGGCTTTAGCAGCGTTTTCGTATCGAGTAGTATTGGCAATGCATCTCGCTATTTGATACTATGCAGCAACATTAGAAAAACGATGGAGATTATTTTTTAATTTTATTTACTGTATCAAGAAGATACTTGACATAATAATTATTACAAACAACGGATCTTACCTCAACATCTTCACATTGACCATAATCAAGTATTAAATCGGTTAGGATAGCCAAATAATCAATTAGGCAAGCCTATAAGTCAATTGGTGCAAAGAACAACGTAGTAATACTGCTATGTTATAGAGTAATGATAGGTAAGCATCTGATTTGTTTCAATATTAAAATCAGACGACATGTTTTACAATAGTGAGGTATAGTAGGAATATTTTACCTGATCTTGCTGACTGCATGCCAAATTGGCTAAAAGACAAACTGCATTTCTCATGACCTGAGAAATAAATGATATTGATCCGTTATATTGGTTGTTAATGGTAAAAATTAGCACGATTTAAACCGACGATAGAATTATCACAACGATGAGACATTGTCTGACTAGATATTGACATTTTCTACCTGTTCACTGCCTTGATTGCACCCGTTATTGCCATATATTCATGTAAAGGCGGATAAGTAGCCAAAGTATGAATAGCACTCAATAAACATTTTCGAATTTCTATATTATCTATCATTGCTAATTGAACTATCGCTTGCATGCCACCAAATTGGATCGCCTAAAATAAGGATAGGATAGTTAATTATACAGTACTATCTGTCCATCATTAATGGGTTCTTGCTTTCAGGGATAAAATAATAAACGTAATTGACTCACTTTCCTAATTCCATCACTTGTTTGCAACATATCATTTATTTCTAGTGCTGCTATGTGCTGCTCACTCTAGGAAAAGAAATAACATTAAAATGGTAGGTAAGCAGCTTACAACCATGCCTACCCAAAGGTAATACGGCTAAACAGAATAGTATAGAAGTCTAATACTATTTCAAGAAATCTTACAGGCTGTGATGAAATTGACTGAGCAACTAAGACTGCTATAGGTTTGCACGAATCACAAACTCTTTCGGATTCCATCAAGTTATACTGTGGTAGGATAATCTAGTAATAAACGTGAAATATCATTCTTAAGTAAATCTAATAAACTAGCAACTTCTAGAGTATATCTTCCTTCAAGTTCCTTTTGAACCGTTAGGCTATATCTTACTTTATCCTTGCAACATTTGTTGCAAAATACATCTCCACATTGCCTACAGTGGTGCTTCCGCCGCAATTGATTAAATTTACTGTCGCACAATCGGCATGACTGAACATCATAATCGGCTACCCACCTACAGCATAAGAGAAGATGAAATTTGATGATATCCATGATTGCTTAGATATACTATTATACATGGCCATGGTATGTGTCAATAGGAACAACCTAGGGAAGAAAAGATGATTAAACTACAAACAACTGGCAGCTACTGTTGTACTATCTCTCGCTAATGAAATATCCTTTCTAGGAGAGGGTAACAAAACAATTACTAAATTCTGTAAGATTATCATGCCTACAAAATATCAGATGTCATTTTTAACTCGTGGAAGTATATTTGCTACAGGTTATGAATAATTTGATCAATAAAATGATGGGGTTGCTGTTGTTTTTAAATATGACATCCAGGGATTCGATTTTTAGATAGAGCAATATAATCTTTTGTAAATCTATTTTCGTCCAATTTCCAGATACAACTTGTAGATTAACCAAGTCTTAGTGCACTAATTTCACCATTATTCCATACAGGAATGAATATCCTTCAACGTTTAATTGCTACTCATGTATAGGACATTATAAAGGCTCTAAATTTAAGTAAACGATGAATAGTCAAAAATAGATACCTTGATTTCGTCAGACGAAAAGGTACAGAGGAGAAACAATTTTTTCGACCTTCCACCTTGGCCAGGCAAATATCAACTCCATCGATACGAAGCATGATTAACGTCGTTTATAGGTATCCTTTCCAAAAAATTGTTTACTCCCACACTGTATCATTGATATTGGCTTCAATTTCCCTACTAGAATTAGGGGATATCTGTATATCGTATTCCCTGAACTACTGAAATTATATCGACGAATCGATCGATGATAAATTAAATTACAGTAATCAATGCCGGATGTGCTAAATATGTCGAATATCGGACAAGGTAAATTATATAGTCTTCAAATTCAATATTGGTCTATATAAAGAAGAAGAATATTATCGGTTGTAACTTATTTTAATCAACTGGGTAATCGTTGTGTCTCCACTCATCAACTTTGCAATGAGGTACAATTAGATTAGAAGAATTGACTACTTCCACTCTTCCGCGAGGATTATCTTACTGTGCTTAATGATGATATAGTTTACTTAGTTATGCCGCTATTGCGTTATAGTTACATGGTGTAAAAGCACTCCTGCATCTCGTCACAAAACGTAGTCAAGAGCTCTATTTAATCCTCATGATGAAGAAAAATTTTCCGATTGCTAGCCATGCTGGGACTAATTAACTGTAAACAAACAAGTAGGAGGTGCCAGTAGTATCGATGCTCGATTACTGAGTCACCCGATGCTGTCAATATATTTGTATGAGAAATTGGGTAGAGAGTATTTTGACCAGGTCGACTTATGCCAGTTTAGGATTACTCTTTCATCTGTAATTATACTAATGATAGAATGTCTAAGAGATTGATTGATTTATATACTGTATAAAATCGCAGATTAACTACTCAGGCAGCTTCTATAGTTGGCATCGATTTCAGATATTTGAGAAAGTCGAGGGAGTAACGTTATGGAATACTGTGGATAGACGACGATACGATCAAGGATTGCGAGTTGGAATATTTGAGGCAGAAAATCGAAATCTTCAATCATAGAAAATCACCTGGAGAGTTTTATGTATAGGTCGAGCCATGTTAGTCTATAATAACTACTTTACCTGTAATTATATTGTATCTAGTAAATTAAATGAATATAAATCGCATGATACATACGGTGCAGGATTGGAGACCAACTACATAAACATTTTAATATTTGGTACTGTTACAAATCTAAGTTTGTAGCTAGGAAAATTATTAAAGCTACTACAGAAACTATAGTACGATAAATCTACTGTCAGGTTTGTCTTTCCTGACATTTATCAACAGTACACTCTAAATACTGGCGATCTCGTATCACCAAGAGGAACAGTAATACCACCAGTCTCTCTTTTAACAAATCTGAATCCAAACTTTATTGAAAAAAATTAATCAGTTTATGGTAATAAGTCAACATAAACATATGAGTTATCATTTCATAGATAATAGTATAAAAATATCCACTTATCCATTAAAGTCATGCAAAACGTTATAGATAAATTAATATTAACATATTCCCAGATAAGTAATCCTAGGGAAACTATGTTACAGCAGCTATGCAAATGTTACTTCTCAACAAGCGTACATTTTGGATACTTGACAAAGTTTAGAGGGTAATGCTGTTAATAAACAGTTAGGTAATGCTCACTAAGGACTATAAGGTGAAATATTAGAAGCAATAATTCAAATTATCAATTAGCTCTTGATTAACTAAATGTTTGTCATAGATTGAAGCAAGAAACTTTACATAGTGTACGCTGGCTCAAGTCTGCTTTATTTGAATGTTCATCTTTAGCTACTAAAAAAACAGTTACAAGTTAAGGCCATTTTAAGCTGAAAAATAGCGTAAAGTAGAGACTCCATACGATGGGACATACTGTCGTATAAATAAACGATCATAAACATGTCTCATCACTATACAAACAATAATCATCCAGTATAGCTTGAAACGATGCAATTTAAATCTAAACATGCAACTAATACAGAGTGATTACGGTATATAATTGAAGCTATTAGCCACTAATATATCAAGTACTAGTAGGTAATCTCACCTCTATATTGTTTCGGATTCAATATCTATGTCAATTTCTGTGTTAGCAGCTGTTACCCCTTGCCTGGTCTCATGATTGATATTACGGATTAATGATCTACCCGTCTTTTGTCTGACTTTAAATTATCAAGGCTCCTTAAATTACCGTATCTTTGAGAATTTTTTGTTTTCCCTGAAACTAGACTTCCCTTTACACAAAATTGATGCAGATAAAAGCTTACTATCGTATGCAATTCTATCTACGGTATTATCATACCATGACAAGTCATATATATACAAGTATTGCAGTGCTATAACTAACATACTTACGAACGTTACAATTTCAAACAACATATTAGATAACTTACTGTATGCTATGAGACATCGTAATATCAAATTGATTACCTCAGTTATTCTATAGATGAAATAGCCACCATAAAACTTTGATAAATTTTAAATATGCTTATATGTTTGCAAATGCAGCCTGGATGATACCTTTCTACTTTAATTAATAATGGTTACAATCGAGTCTTTAATGAACGACATATTTTAACCCTTGCTTTAAACATCATTTAACTAGTGTAAGACAGAAAATATGTTCATTAATGCTTCCGGAAACGAGTACATTTAAAGAAAGTGTATAAAATATAAAGTATTACTTGTATTTGTAAGCTATTATGATGTATCTTATTATCAGCACAATGATGATTGCGAATAAGTTCAGCCAGATGATTTGTATTATTTCATCCCTTTAAATACAGTGGCACACTGGTTGGATTATAAATTAATAACCACGTATCAATGATCTCGTGATTTAGAAAGCTTTATAATTTAGCAGCCTTAATAGGCCAGATAGTTTGAGAATAAATCTTGTTCTAGTATAAGCATAAATTTGTAACAGCTGTGATCGCATAGCATTGATAAAATGGATCGAGTATAAAATCATGCACATTGATGCTGGTAATGTCATAACCTTCACAAACGTCTGTTTTTTAAGCAATTAGTAGTGTGTATAGACTTTAGTAGCCGTACATAAGGCCTTTATTTAGAACATTATGTAGTAAAATATTTTATACTGATAGGTAAAATAAAGCCGTTTTGTGACCGAAATGAAATATTTCTATAATAGTATTATTAGTATTAAATTATGTGAAAGATCTGAAAGGTATATTAAAAAAAATTTCTTCATCTTAAACAAAGAAAGGTCTTAGGGGCATAGAATTTAAAAATATTTAGAAATCTTCTTGGAAACTTAATATACTCAGTATTTTATAAAATATCTAGAATAAACTCTAGTATATTTTAATTATGTTTCTATATTTAAGATGGCAGGAATTTACTTTAATAGGAGAGTAAACTGACACCATTTTAGGTATAACCATTGTAACTGATCCTGTTGTATTCTGGAAGATTAAAAAAATGAATAAAATAATACTTTAGTCAATCCAAACATGAACTGAAATACTCATATATTGTTAATAGTTCAAATTCGGATAATTTAAATTATCAGCAATGCAGTCTGCTGTTTCATAAACTTTCGTCAAAGCTACGTATATGTGAATTCGAATAACTGTAATGCTATAGTATTGCAATATTAAAAGCTTACTGGTAATTTTTACAATATTAATTCCTAAAGGACTTCGAAGAATGATGATCATCAGATTGATTTATTCGTAATTATCGTGGAGTAGTGATTTAAAAATGCATAAAATTATTGCAGCATAATACTGTGCTTAATATTATTACCACTATTAATGTGAACTTTAAGCTATTTGCTTCAAATCTATGTAGTAGAACAATACATATAGTTTAAAGAGTAAACTTTTTCTATAAATATATAAGCATGTTGAGCTTCGTAAAGGTATTCTAAAGGTGTTACTGCATGACTTATATCTATAGAATTTAAATAAATATATTTCAATTTAAAAATATCTACAAACAAGGTATTATTCAAAATTGATGTAATAGAACTATAGTATAAATATGATGTACTGGAATGTGTGTCTATTTCTTTTCGGTCATGGCATTATTCACTAACCTATGTGCAAATGAGATAAATACTTCTAAGATTGTAATATAGGAAAAAGTTCACTAGCAGCACAGAAATTATGCCACGTGCATTAAAATAAAATTGCTATATTATAACTAATTCATGAATATAGCTAGTAAAAAAAACAACAGCCGTATTCTGTAACTGTTGTTTTAAAAAAATTAAACGAATTCGAATAAATTGTATACAATATTACTTGCCAACAAAAGTAAGATTATAGGAATTTATTTAAATTGTACTGATGACGCATCAAAATTTAAATTGGTCCGTATTTACGAAATTACAATAATTTTACGTAAGTAACTGTTGAAAAGAGTTATTGATACTTAAATTCCTATAAATATGAAGAATAAAAAATTGTATCTTCATTTTTTGTCTGCAGCAAATAATTTCAATTTTATTCTTTTGCTTTAATCATTCTCTGTGAATAAACACTTGTTCAATCTCGGAAAGAAGAAAAAAATTAGAAAACGAAAGTGTATGCTTTATATAGGGCTATCAATAGTTCTTGCCAGCACTAGCAGTTAGTTACTCTTGTCAGCCAGTATAACAATGCTTTTATCCCAACTAAGAAAGATTTCTGTACTTTGTCTTTGGGTTGAATTAAAATCGACATAAAAATGAGTAGCCTGCAGGGCTATGAGAAGCAAGCTTTCCTAAAGTCATTTAATACAGTACAATATCACCGTATAAATTTAGCTGTTAAGAACAATAATGTCTTTGACTAATGCTAATCCATCCATCCATCATATTGATAAATTTTAATAAATAACGCGAGGTAATTTAAATTTATTATTATTGCTACTTTATTAGTTTATTTCTATGCCTACGGCCATCTCGTATATTCGTAATCGCAATGGTGTTCAATTTAATAAATAGTATAGTGTTGAGTATTTTCGTGGGGAAGTCTACGATTCAGATATATGACATATAGTATAATTAAAAAAAATGAAGACTGCAGCGAATGCATGTTCTATTGCCTTTATCAGATCATTATAGTCAAGACATAATGAAATGAAATAATATTAGGAAATAAAGCATTAAAATTCAGCACTATTTTATTGAGAATTTTACAGCAGTTGTGATGTTGTGAAAAGTCAGATAATGCCTATTCTTTTTTACAGTAAAATAACAATCACGCCACAGTGCTGTTCTGAATTGCATGCCAATGATATTTAGAATTATGTCCTACTGACGACTATTGTTTAGCCAGAGTAAGGATAATAAAGATCTACTAATGAACTGTTTGGATGACTAGACATCGCTAATCGTATTCTGTATTCTATCAGAGTAGCTTAAATCTTCAAAACATCATACTCTAATTGTAGTGGAATTAGCATATTGGTATTAATTTCCATCTATTATTTCCTATACTTTGATAGACTGTAGCTCGAAATAGTCAATAATACTGGACATTAATGCTTTGGCTTTGATACAAATAACATTTCATAATTCTGACAAGCCTATCCCTATTTTCTCCACTAACTTTACTCTCAAACGTTGGCTACATAATATTAAAATGCAAAACTTTTGCTGGTTGATAATCGTAATTAGAGGCAGATTTAGATCTGTTAGTAATACTATATGATCAATTTTACTGCTTAATCCAATTCATCGAAGCTAGCAATCATAAAATGAGTTTGTATTGATCATGGTCAATTCAGTGGCAGAGAATTGATCTATATTATATAATTTCATGTTAGTTTCTTTTTTAGTCAATAAAAAACATTTAAAAATAATTACTTTATCTTGAGGATGTTGATAATGTATTAACATGCCTACAGTATAAAATATGGAAAAGTCAATACGTTTGGATTGCTCATATCAACTATCCTATAAGATTTTGTTTAAATCATTGAAAAGGTAAAGCATCTTTATTTCCGTATAGTCGCTTCTTTACGCTAATTTTCTTTTTTGCCATCGGCCTAAAGCGTGGAACCGGTTAAAAAATTATGAAGAAAAAGGGAAAAAATGTCGTTCTACATCAGTAATCAAGTTGATTTATTGTTAATAACAGTAGGGGGAACAATATCGTGCAATGAGAAAAAATAGCCATTATAATTCCCCTACGTGGAATGTATTAATGATCAATGTTGTATAATATAAAATTAATCATGTTGTAATTTGGCTAAGATAGCAGAAAATATTGAATATAGACTATTTTATAGCAGAATAACTGTTTTGTTTTCACCATATCCAAGCTTAATGACGTCGCAATATAGTAGAACAACGTAACCGCGATGATCTGTTGTTACTATAGCAACACATAATTAAAATTCTTCCCGACGAAAAGTTATTAATGGACTATCCAAGCTAGACAAAGACTTTAACGATCTATTTGAGTTAAACATTAGTATAGGATTGAGTTGAATTCAAAACCCAACACGATTAACTGAGGGTAATGTTATGCTAAATTAATAACGGTTAAAAATAAAAGTTTTTATAGTTTTGACAGTAGGGTGTTGTATACCTCAGCAAGAGGATAATAGACCAGTAGAGTAGACAGTTGAATTATTTGGTTTGTGTATTAAAATTATTCTTTTTAAATCCAATTTTGGTATAGTGATCTTCATTGACGTGGTATAAATCGATCAGTACCGTTTAAGTCGGCTAGCTGTATCCAAATCACGTCACAGTTATTTGTTAAAAGGTGCGGATTCGTGTTTAGGGATCAATTCTTGGCCAAGAAATTATTTGCAACCATTAGAAAAGTTGTCTCATTCGATCAAGATGTCTGTATTATCCAATCAAGGCGGTAAAAAACATTTTAACAGTAATCAGGGGTAAGTTTCGATTGATTTTTTACCACGATAAAATGGTAGTTACTCTTGTCGATTTTCATTAGGTTTTATTTTCATTTTCTTCATAATGAAGTGGATAAATTTTTTCCCAGTTCTATTAATTGCCATACTGTAATTCGTCCTGTTAGTGACAGAAGATAGGATAATTTCTTACTCATCAATAAAATTCATTTTTACTATAACAACTAAATTACTCAGCAGTATCCACGTCTATTTGTTAATTGAAGAATTATTATAAATGAGATATAATTTAAGTACTGACCAATCCCACACTGTGATCCAAACGATAATGTTACTTATACTGTAGGCGATTTGGCCAACGCTATTTGATAGAGATCATGAAAATGCCATGTTGTAGACGTTATTAATTTGAATTGAAGTAGAATAATGGAAATTTTCATGCCCTCAACTCATCGTCATCGTGACATCTTTTTAGCTGTAAGAATTGACCGTTGAAAAAAAATTTTATTTCTATCCTTGTTAGTCAATCATGGCGAATATTTGGTGAAGACGAAGAAGGCCGAGAAAATATTCCCATTCAAACTCCTCAAAATGAAAATTTTAATACAGCTGATTCGACAGATGATGCTGCCTATGGGAAAGCTCGATCGTTGAAGCCAACCCCTCGTACATATAACATTTTGTATCATGGTGACGAGCCAAAAACTCAATCCCGTTCAGGGGCACCTTCAGCAGAGCCCATGAGAGCACCATCATCTGAACCCATGAAAGCACCTTCAGCCGAACCCATGAGAGCAGATAATCCACCAAGCAATTTTGTCAATCCAAAATTGCAATCGATGAAGCCCACTCCTCGTACCTATAATATTTTATATCATGACGATAGCGAAGAAAATCCTACCCGTCAAATAAACTCCAAGCCTGCAACGAATCCAGTAGAAGCACCTCAACCAGCCACGGGTAGATTGCAATCGATGAAGCCAGCGCCGCGCGATTACAATATTTTATTTCACGTCGAAACAACACCCATGAATCCTTCAAGTGAAAATATAGAGAGTGCATCTGCTATGGATCAAAATGCAGCTATGGAAGGTGGTTCAATTTACAACGATTCTATGCCGCAGCAATGTAATTTATTTGATTGGACACTTTTTTAAATATAAATTGCTATATGCAATGTTTAAGTTGATTGATCTTTTGTTTGATTATTCAATCGTGGCGTAAAAGTCTAGAAGTTAATATCTTATAGAGTCGATTTTGTTTTACAGTATTTGTTGTACCAGTGGTTTATGGGTTCGATATTACGATTGACTCTGTTGACCATCATGACTGTTTGTCATTCTTTTAGATGCCACTCAAGTTCCAAATGCACAGGAAGAAAATTTTTCAGTAGAACAGCCCGATGTGGAGCTACCCCTTGCAGAAAGATCATCGTCTATAAATGATTTTCGTGATCCGATTTCCATTAATGATGAATTAACAGCTCGACAAACACCTAAAAAAACTGGAAAGCTATGCGGATATAATCAAGGGCCAGCCACTATGGGAATAGGTAAAATTGTTGATTAATCCATTTACATACTATACGAGTATACCGTATAAATATGTATATGGACAACCAATCTGATCTTCTCTCGATAGATCTATGTATAGTGTTTAGTTGGAACTTCAATTTGTGTGATCATTCCATTGGTACTTATGACTGATTTTTGATTATTATTATTATTGAAAATTTTTGAATACAGTGCCAGTAACCAATATATCGAATAGGAGAAATTCTGCTGAAGGTCGAAAGTTGTTGGAGAAAATCTCTTTTGAACATAACATGGATTCACGTCAGGAACCAATGCATTCAGAAAGGGGAAAGGTAAACAAATAATACCATTTGCCTTGTTATGAATGCGTTCTCAGTTCCAAATTGAATAGCCATGATGTCCATGATGATACTATCTAAAGTTTGCATATGCTTGTGTACGAATAGTAACGTCTATATCGAATCTATAGCGCCACGGATGCTTTGTATGGGACGATACATCTAATCAACAAAGCAGAGAATCGCCAAGGCCGACAAGTGCACGCATTAGATAAGAGTGGAAAATTGCCATGCAAATTGTATGATATAGTAGTTCTAATTCTAATTATTGCTGTAAAAGCAATGGCTCTTAATTTGACCCAGTGTTAGGTAAATAACTAAATATCAATTATGTTCTAATATTTTCACTTATTATTTGAAAGTATTTACTAATTCAGTAAGATAGTGTGTTGATTGATTTGAAAAGCAACGTATGCCATTGCATTGTGTTGATGACAATAATCAACATACACTATAGCACATATGAGCATAACTTTAAAATAATTACTTTTTTGTTGCTTTTTGGCATCTATGAAGTAATCGTTGCTAATAGATGTATGTTAGGCTTGTAAAAATTGGCAATTGGTGTAGTTCAATACGGGATCAATATTTTAAGTAGTAACATCCTTTGTAGAAATTTGTAAACGTTTTAACAGCAGATTGTATTCTATGCTAACATTCACTCTTGGTTATGACAAAAAGTAACAATATTATCGGTAATTTATCGATTAAATTATGGAATACAAATCTTCTAATAGTTCACATTTATGCGTAGAGAATAGATTTGCGACCATAATCCAATTCGAATCTCTTTTGGTTTGTTGTATGATATTCGATTCAGAAGTGGTTTCAAAATAAAAAATAATAGCTTTAAAATGGGTTTTAGCGTCGTTCTTGGCATGCCATACTTACATAGGATAGTTAATAAAGCAATTTGTAACGTTGAAGCAGTAAACAATCAAATATAGGCACGTTTATTCATGACTTCTGACATTCGATTTAACAAGTACCAAAGTTAATCTAAAACATCGATGGAAATCGGCTACGTGATAACAGTTGATTTATAACTAAATTAAAATTTAGTATAGTAGTCATTAAAGAAGTAGATCGAGAATTTCAATGAACTGTACATCGTAGTAGTACATACGTAAGATAGGATAAACTGATTTAAAAATTTTTTTTATACTATATAAATAGTGTCTTGTGGATCATACACCATTTTCTAACCGCAATTCATGATACTTGCTAAGTCTGTTCATAAAAGAATACAGTAGAGCATTAATAGAAGTAGACGGAAATGATTGAACTTTAGCCGTATTCATACTGTACAAGCAGATTATCCATGATACAAGTTGAAAGACTAACTATAATAGACTTACTATCGATCTCGAATTTGAAGGACATATTCTTTGAATTCGAGTTCAGTTCTTGATTACTGAGAAAGATTTTGTTGTTATCGACTCTTTGCCAGTTTTTTGCACTGATGATTGCATTCAATTCCGTTTCTATCAAAAGTCCATTATTTAGTCAATGTTGAAGAAGAGATGTCTATGATTAAGCTAAAAAGTGCATGTTACCATTTACATCACCCAATAATTTGGCAACTAGTGACGCTTCAATCGTCTGATAGGTGATATTCAAAACGTAGCAGATAACTATTAAAATAGGAGAAATCAATTATTGAATATCAGTTACGGCATAACGCCAGTTAATGCATAGTAAAACTTGGAAATGGTAGTGCAATGTTGCAATACAATCAATATTAATTGAAATAAGAGTCTATATCGTACAATCTCGAATGGATTCTTCAAATCCGTTGACTGTGGAACTCAAGTCTTTATTTTGTGCTAGCTCTTCCTATTGAAAGGAACGTACAAATTGAATACTAAAGGGGATTCATAATTATTCTAATTTCCTAAAATAGCAGTTGTAACTACTTACCCAAAAAGTTATAAAGTTACATGTTTCCAGAAGTTCACCAAGATAGAATATCCGCGATATTTGCTCGTCTTCCTCCTAAAGTAGAGTTAAGGATGATTCTTTGTCGTGAATAAACAATCATCATCAACATAATCAACAGAGAATGATGATTGGAGACTTTATCTACTGTACAGGAAATATGAAATTGTTGGAAAAGGATACATGGCTTTCTACCATTAGACATCGACAAAGGGAGAAATCGTTGGATGGTAGATTGGTTAAGGCTTTCAATAGTATTAGACTAACAATGTTGGATTGAAATAACGAAGGATTGAATTGGTAGCTAAAGGGAAAGAAGGCATACATAGCATGAAGATAGCATTAGTACGTGTTTATTTTTACCCAATTTGAAGTCTGTATGAAGGTTGACAATAATGTCATTGGTGCTTACAGTTTAAGTACAGCCAGGTTTGCTTCCACATCGTAAGTACCTTCTTGAGCCTGTAAATACACAATTACATTCCAATGATTAGTACTGACGTTGAACAGTAGTAGTAGCACTGTCTACAGCTGCAGAGACGAGTTGATTGAATCGAATTGGATGTCCATGACATGTATTGAGTTTGAAGAATTTGACTTTACCAACCTGCTGCTCAACGTATGCATGTAAGACTGTCAAGTTTTCTGGATTATACCTATCAATTTGGCGAAAGATAAAAAAAGCAACATCAAGTTTTACTTCGGGATATCCATAATGGCAGAAATGCCGTGTGATGCAACTATTTTGTGATGGATAGTAGAGAGAATGATGCTATTGAACGAAATCCGTACGTTCATTCATTACTTTGTCCGTAGCGTAGCCGTGTTATGGCATTTATGTGGCGTTTTAATGATGCTTCTACTAATGTATCTGGATGTGATGGAGTCTATTGACCAATTACGATAGCGTAGAGTGATTCATGTTCAACTTATTTTGATAGCGTATCGTTGTTGGTGTTTGTCAATTTTAGCGTGCAACAGCGGTACGCAATCGAAGGTGCGAATAATAAATTTTGAGCATGTTCTTGTCATTGGAATGATTTGAAGGCCTTAGGTATCCAACATCGCTGATAAATAAGTCATTCCAATAGAATGTACTATTTTTTTTCAACCCAAGTCATGTATAGCTTAGCGTTGAACAAGGTGATGAAAGCATTTGGATGGTGGTTGTAATACTGTTATCAAGTGTCATGACAGATGAATGGATCGCCTTTCCCATGCAGTGATCGATCGATCGATCTCCTCTATCCTCCAGTACAAAATTGGAT